TGACTTGCCATGATTGAATAGTAAATGGCGGCACGCGCTCCCCTAGGGTTGGTGTGTGGACCTGACTGTGGTTGGTCCTATCAAAACGAGAATAAAACTCATTCAACTTGTTAGGGAGTGTGGAGTCCTCTGTATCAACGGCACGTCTGGACCCTTTATACTGTGTGACCAGAGCGATATTGTCCCAGAGATCCTTTGCACTATTGGACTGGAATTTCTGTTCGATTTTCGAATTCATCTTTTGCTTTGCTTTTTTGATGGCAATTTTTAGGTCCAATTTTGTTTTACGATATGCTGCAACATTTGTTTCTTTCTCACGGTACGCTTGGTCTTTAGCTTTTATAAGATTCTTTATGTTCTTGTCAACCCACAGTTTAGTGTTCGGGTATTGCTTAATAGTCCTAGAAGGAATGCAGATCTCTTCACAAAACTTGATGTACTCAGTTACCACTAAAGTGAAGTCATGGATGCTGTTGTCCGATTTAAGGGCTGCCCAATCAGTGGATTCAAAGCAATTATGCAAGCTGTCTATCGCAGACTTTGAGAAAGATTTCACGTTTCGGGATAATGGTTTTGCACTTTTCAACGCAGTTCTGTAGACAGGTATCAGTAATACAGTGCAGTGGTCCAAATTTCCAAGCTCGATCGCTTGATTGCTTTGTAGGCATTCTTCGTCGCACAATAACAATGGTCCAGTACGTTGTGATCTGTTGTGATTCAAAAGTTTTGAAAAGTTAGGTTGCTTCATGTCAGAAAGAAAACTGTTATGATTCTGTGCAAATAATTACTCTTGAAAATTTAAAGTAAAATATGAGAAAAAGTGGTGTTTGAAAATGTGTAGTAATTATTGTATACTGTCTCAGTGGGCTGAAATAATATATACTCTGAAGTGCCGAATAAGAGTGCCTACCGGAATAACAGTGCCCCCCGGAAAACTTTCCAAAATTAATAACAGTGCCTAGCGGAATAACTGTGCCCCCTGGAAAAATTCNTCTCGGCGGTTTTAGTATTGAGTAGTCTTTACTCTTTCAAATGTCGACTGCGGACTTGCCCCGGGTACTGTATGCTTAAGAAGCAATTAAGGGCCCAAGACAGCATAGTGGGGCTTAAAAAGACGAAATGAATGCCCGTTAAAAGCAATAAGACATTTTAAAGAAATGCAGTATATACGGAGTTAGCTATGGCTGCATTCAACTTCGGGATCTGTGGCACCAATATAAGGACATTTACGTGAAAAGAAAAGAAATATTATATTGACGACGCAGACTTTATTCTAAGGACCAGCAATATGTTCGTTTTAAATCGATCACTTCATGAAAACTTGTTAAAGTATACCGTAAAAGGTAATTTGCAAAGACCCACGAGAGCCCACAGTCGTTCTCGTGACATCCCGATTCAGGGGCCCAGTCGTTGTCGTGATTGAGTGACGTGCCTCATCCGGGATTCGAACTCGTGACTTTGCGTTACCATGGTTGATGACACTTTGGATTGCTCATTTGCATCCATGCACGCTACCGACTGCGCCGTAACTGACCCGCCCACCCTCCATACGTACGAGTTTCCTCTTATAGTAAATAATGGAAATTTTCAAAAATTAATTCTGGCAAGAAAAGGAGATCGCAATCCGCTGGGACTCGAACCAGTGTAGTTTAGAGTGTCTGCCGGTATTCCAAACGGCAACGTTACCACGAAGCCACGGCAGCTTCGTTGATACTCGATGTTCAGATGGATACTTTCAACTTTGTCACGGAGAGATTGGACCTACATGTACATATCTGCTGTCCCAATCGATAATCCGGGTGCCGTATTTCATCCCACGCAACCCCAGTGCTCGTATCATCAACGGTAAATTCTATGATGTACAGGAAGCCGTGTTTGAGAACCCGACATGGAGCTCGGAGTTTGATTTATACTTACAATAAATTTGGCTTTACTAATGATATTAAAGAGTACAATGGGATCAAAGACGGTTTACAACTGGCTTGTTTTAGTTTCAGGGAGACCCTAAGAAGGGGGGATTGAAAAAATATATAATTAAATGTGTAATTACTGGTGCGATTTCCATTTAAGCAATTGCGGCAATGGAAATATTTGAGTAAAGCAAAATTGACAAATAACGCCGCCTAGAAGATATAGTTTTTCTGCTGAACACGGTTAACAGCTGGCATGACGTGCTGTCATACCGGAAAAGCTACCGAATCAATTCAAGTTCGGTCGTGTCGCTTTCATGGATGGGCCAACAGCTCGGAGAGTTCCGAGTAAGATGACTTCCGATGCTTTTATTTTCATTTTCTTTTGCACTGAGATAACGCTTGGTTTCACCTTTGGCGTTACAGAGCACGATGAGATGCGCAGCTGTTCACACCTCGGCGGTTTTAGTATTGAGTAGTCTTTACTCTTTCAAATGTCGACTACGGACTTGCCCCGGGTACTGTATGCTTAAGAAGCAATTAAGGGCCCAAGACAGCATAGTGGGGCTTAAAAAGACGAAATGAATGCCCGTTAAAAGCAATAAAATCGACGCGACTTTTGAAAACAATAAAAATTTTCTATGTGATAATCCCAACGAGATGATAGGACATTTTGAAGAAATGCAGTACATACGGAGTTAGCTACGGCTGCATTCAACTTCGGGATCTGTGTCACCAATATTAGGACATTTAAGTGAAAAGAAAGGAAACAGTCACAAGGTTTGTTCACCTCAGTTGCTCAATGCAGCCAGGGAATTATATCCGATATCGCACGTAAACCCATGCAGGCATGGTTTTCAGTACCGTTGTAAGTGTTTCGACATAGCAAGGACTCACTTTCCCACAACAGAATTTTTATTTCCGGAAAAGATGAAAAAGGTATATTGTGTTTGTGCGTTTGAATTTTGAAGGGATTTATACGGCTCTCCATTGTTTGCCCACCCCCTTCTATTCACAGGACAGGGGTTAAAACATTTCAAACGTTGTTAAACAGGTGTACAACGGAAACATAATAATAATAATAATAATAATAATAATAATTTATTGAGCACTAAAATGTTTCAGTACATTTTACAGGCCCTCTAAACTACTAGCGTTTGTAACACCTGGCAAAATTTAGCTAGCTGAATCAAAGTAGGTTGTAATGTGCTGACCCCTACTGCCGACAGAAAGTATTAACTAGCAAATAGCTTCTTTTGATTGTCTTTTAATGACATTCCTGGAGGTACGGTGGTTTAAATTTCCTTGCACAGCACATTCCTTCCCCTGTTCTTGAGAGGAAGAAAACGTGCTTTCATAATCCTAGAAGTTTTTAAACCAAGTGCATACCTTTGAGAACCCTGTTCAACCAGGAATTTAAAACCGTCGTCGTCGTTGACGAGTATTTAATAACTGGTATAGACAGAAAGGAGAATAAACAACTTATATCACCCCAACAAGTCTCTATTCCTTTTCTAACACTACGTGTGTTACAGTGTTAAACTTATACATACATGTAATGTATATCTAGACCTATATTATAATACTTATGTGATAATTGTCACTACCACTGTAACATTCTCCAAAGCACTTTGGCACTGTTTTGGTCCAGTTTTCAACCTTTGATCAAAAATCACTCAATTATTTGAAGTTATTTGAAGTTGAATACCCTTTGTAGTATGGATACCCTAAAGGAAGAGGACGAAATTGTCATAGAAGGTCCACCCTCGTCAGATACAACTATAGATTTAGAAGCTTTATCTGAACAACAAAATAAAGAGTTAAAGAAGCAACAGCTCATTATGGAGTTCGAAGAAAAGAAGGCACTGCTAGAGATGGAGAGACAGCGTCAGCAGCTGAGGCTTATGAAGGAGAAGGTGGCTTTGGAGGCGGAGCTCCAAGAATTATCCAAGGCGCAAGAAGAAACGCAGTCGGGAAGTATCGATCAAAGTACACCAGCAGGCCCACTCAAACCTCCCAGGTTTTCCCTGGAGCCTTCAAGCATTACAACAGAGGATCGTTACACTATTGCTATGGCAGAGGCATTACACCAAGTACTAGAATAGTCTAGAATGCAACAACAGTCTGTCGTAGACACATTACAGTTACCTAGGAATGAGTTGCAGGTGTTTGATGGAAGTCCACTCCATTATTGGCCATTCATCAGATCGTTTAAAAATACAGTTGACAAACAGTCAACCGATCCTGGGGTGAAGCTTACCTGTTTGATGAACTATTGCACTGGCCGTGCAAAAAACCTACTCCAGTGCTGCATGGTCAAGGAGCCCAGTGAGGGCTATAGAATGGCATTGGATCTTTTGGAGGAGAGATTCGGGAACAGTTATGTCATATCCCAGGAGTGGGTAAAGAAGATAACCGCTCGCACAGAAATAAGAGGTGCCGTAGCCCTGAGGGAGTTTGCCGATGACCTAAGGTGCTGTTCTGAAACGCTCCAAAGTATGGGATATGGACAACTCCCACAGTCTCCTAGCAGTTGTAGAGAAGCTTCCATACTACCTGAGTACCAGATGGTTGAAAGAAAACCAAAGTATCAAGATAAAGGAGAAAAGAAATTCCAGGTTAACCGATTTAGTTAACTTCTTTTCCCTAGCTGCAGAGGAGGCCTCGGATCCAGTATTTGGAAAGGCTGTTCTTACCGGAATCAAGAAGAAGACTGGGAGTTTTGCCATTGTAGCGGGACCCACCTCACCGAAAGTCACGGAGCAATGTATTAAATGTAAAGGGAATCATCTTGTTACACAGTGCCATTCGTTCAAGTCCCTTAAAACAAAAGATAGACACACGCTCATTCAGTCAAAGGGCTTGTGCTTGAATTGTCTGAAGCCAGGACATTACAGCAGAGAATGTCCAAGTACCATACGATGCACAGTGGATGGTTGTGGGAAAAAGCACAGCACGTTTCTTCACTATGCAGAACAAGTCCAGAGTGAAGATTTGAAGCGAGATGATGGTAAGGTATGGTACCTGCCACATCACCCAGTTCTGAATCCCAAGAAACCAGATAAATGTATCTATGCATCGGGGCCGGGATGTAACACCTGGTAAAATTTAGCTAGTTGAATCAAAGTAGGTTGTAATGTGCTGACCACTATTGCCGACAGACAGTATTAACTAGCAAATAGCTTCTTTTGATTGTCTTTTAATGACATTCCTGGAGGTGGTTTAAATTTCCTTGCACAGCACATTCCTTTGCCTGTTCTTGAGAGGAAGAAAATGTGCTTTCATAATCCTAGAAGTTTTTAAACCAAGTGCATACCTTTGAGAACCCTGTCCAACCAGGAATTTAAAACTGTCGTCGTTGACGAGTATTTAATAACTGGTATAGACAGAAAGGCGAATAAACAACTTATATCACCCCAACAAGACTCTATTCCTTTTCTAACACTACGTGTGTTACAGTGTTAAACTTATACATACATGTAATATATATCTAGACCTATATTATAATACTTATGTGATAATTAATTGTCACTACCACTGTAACATTCTCCAAAGCACTTTGGCACTGTTTTGGTCCAGTTTTCAGCATTTGACCAAAAATCACTCAGCTATTTTAACTTCTCTTTGTTTTTCCCATTTTCTCTGTCAATAATTGATTGTTTTAAACAGTCTTCTGCAGGTTTAAAGTCAGGATTTATCCTCAGAGCTCTCTGCTGGTCCTGAATAGCTTCATCAAAATAACCTACGATAGAAATAGGCAGAATCAAAAATATTTTTCAGATACATAAATTCATTACAAATACATTTCTATGTAACATTTTGGTACTTTTACTTTGCAGAATACAACTATAAGGTAGTCTGTTTTTCAACTGTGTTGCTTCCACTGAATAGGAATGTTTTAATTAAAAAAAAAATTATTATTAAAATATATAAAATCTGTAAAATTCACAATTTTCCTGATTGAAATGATCAACTGTATCATAAACAGTCATCCTCATTGGGTTTGTAAGTTTTAAACTATTCTTAATGAAGAAATCACACATACTTATAGTTACATGTACCACATTTATACTGGAGTATGTTAATTTTTTTTTTCAAGGCAGAGAGTTGCGAGGTGCAAAACCACCATTAAAGCCAAGCACAGAAGGCATACTTATATTTGTACTGGGTAATTTAAACAAATTTTATGTCACTTATTAATTTTCAGTTGGAAAACTTACTTAATCTGTACTTAATCAGTCCTCTGTTATAGTACGCCTGCTCCGTTTCCTTCAGTTCCAATGATGACGTATAATCTTCCACAGCAGATTTGAATTCTACTTGGAGATATTTAACAAAACCTCTGTCATTGTAGGCACGAGCTAAGGCAGCCTCCCTGAAATTAATGTGAAAATATTAACTTATAACAATTAAACAAGTTAAGTTGAAATACACTACAGGTATGCACAGATATCCATCAACATGAAGACTGCCAATTGATTAAAACTAAAGCAAATAAAAATGTTTCGTTATCCCCCATATGAAAGATAACCAATAAAAGATGTTCTTAATCATAGATTCTGTTACTTAAATAGCCTTATTAGGGATGTGATTGAAGTAGTAGCATTTATAATTAAAAAATGTCTGTGACTTGGGATTTCAATCGTGCCCAGGGGGATTTTAAATCCTGCTAAGTGGATTTAAATTCTTCCTGGATTTCAATCTTGCCTGTGACACACACACACACACAAGCACATGAGGATATTGCATGTATTTTTTGTACTGAGTCAGTGACTGTATGGAACATATTGCAACAGTTGTGCAGTGACAAGCAATGCATTAAGAAAACAGATCGTCTTATTTAATCTATTCATTATTTATAATAGTATTTTAATGTTTTTTATTGATTAAAAATATTGTGACAGATGTAGCTCATATTAAATGAAAAAAAGTAATAAAAAAAAAGCCGCTCGCTTCTTAAACATCACAAATAAATAAATACATAAAAAATAAAAATAAATGGGTCTAAATAATTAATTAATACATATAGATCTAAATATGAATAATATAATAATCAGAAATTTCGAAATATTGTAAGATTATAAGTAAATTTAGTGAAGAGGGACTAAACTTATGTTTGAACTCTAATACAGCAAGTTATTTATAAGGATAACATTGCAGCAGTGTAACAGCTACAGGTAGGTTAGTAGGGAAAGTTAGCCAAAGCAGTGAAACTGAAATTCAGTGAAATTTTGATTTGAACTATTTCGTATGTTCCTCACATGGACTGTTTCTGTTCGCAAGCACCACATTCCCGTAAAGCATCTTGTAAGAGTCTTATGCATTCAGAATATTTGTTTTCAGCATCTTTGTTTTGTCCGAGTTTTCGCAAATTATCTGCCTCTCGCTGTAACGCCTCTTCCGCATTCGGTTTCTCCATAATTAGATTAAGCTCCCGTCGACGACATGCCACGTCAGACACCAATAGTAGTGTCTTTTTAATATTCTAACTAATTCTTCACTTTAACCTTCTTATCAGAATTAGACTCAACTGCATTTGATAAAAAATTTAGCTAGATTTTGGCTGGTGAGACATTTGTACTATAATATGTTAGGCTCGTGATCTGTCGAGGCACGTCCGTTGGCACGTGCCAAGTATCTCCCAGTCACATGAGGATCATATGACTCACGAGATTAAATAGTTGATAGATCAGAAAGATTGATCACTTTTTGTCTTGTCGCTGGTCGTTGATCTGTAAAATTGCCAGAGGTAAGAGATTACACAATTTGTCTTATTTTCCTTCAGGGATAACCGGAATATGAGTGCAACTTGTTGCTGAAGTTGTATTAAACTTATTTATAACGTCTTTATCTGCCTAATTGCATCAGGTGCCTTATAATTACTTTCTGTTGTATCGCAGACTTAATTGTGCGTGGTGCGTTTAATAATTCCGTATGTTAAACTTTGTGTAAAATCTCACATTTAGAATCTCAAGTCGGTTTTGAATTAACCCTACATTTTCTAAATTGTCTGTGATTTTTGTGTGAAGGAATATGAAGCTTAAGATTCAAAATGAACGCTGCATTTCTCAAAATGCATGCTGGTAATCTTTAATTTCTTAAATACGATCTTTAATTTAACTTTACTAGTAACACTATGAAAGCACCTGGAAACTGATTATTAATCTTGCATGATGTACGAAACACTCTGAAATGCGAAAATGTGGCTACTCGATTGAAAAGCAGAGGACAGAAAGCTGAAGTACGTACTCGTAAAGCAGATTGGTTTCTACCCCCCCCCCCCTCCCCCCCAACCTCGTTTCCCCTGAAGTACATGTACATTGTACATGTATCAGAGCCTCTCATCGAAAACTCTGAGGTGCCACAATCACTCTGGTTAAAACATTGACATTGAAACTTGGACAGCAGTGCTGGGTGGAGGATGATTTTAATTATTTTATCACAGTGTACAATGTATATATACAGTACATGTATATACTGTACATGTGCGATAAACTTCAGTAATCTGATACCTAGGGTTACATGAAGATATGTGGCTATGAATGTGGATGATATAACTAGTTTTCAAAATTTTACTGCTTAATACTCATCAAATGTGTTGCACTGATTGAGATTTTTTAGTGATGAATTCAATGATAATTCTCAGTTGACAGGTTTTTATCTGACCAGTTGATAAAGGCAGCATATGTTATGGATAACGATACATATGTTTTATTATCCTATCTTGTTGATATTTCAGGGAATATAAACCATGAAGGTGTTGTTAGTGATCGCCCTGTCGGCCCTGTCTCATGCCAGCGTGCTCAAGTTTGAGCAGCAGGTTCCTCTTCACAAGCCTCTCTCTGAGGAACTTATCCACTATGTAAATCACGTTGCCAAGGCAACATGGAAGGTAAATCATCATCTGCCTCAGAGGGGAACTTTTTGACTTTGATAGATTATTGTACTTTTGTGAGTCTTGCATGTGAAAGTGAAAATTAGTCTTTCGGTTTATTTTTTGCCAGTGTATGAATTGTTGTTTATCGCCGAAACTGATCTTTCAACTACACGTATACTAGCTGTTTGTCCATATTTATAAATACAATAAAAGGTTTGGTCAAGTTTCTACAGAAGCATACAAATTATTCAAAAGTTTGCTTGTTACCTGGTTATAGACTTAGTATTTTAATATTGTTTTGAATTGACAAGTAAGATCAGGTGTCAATATATATAAATATGCAATAGATGACCTTGATTCTTGATTGATACTTTTTTGTGGTGAAAATTTAAACATTAAAGTGATATCTTTTCCAGGCTGGCCACAACTTTGTTGGTCGTAACATGACGGAGAAAGATCTGAAGAAGCTCTGCGGAGTTCTGGAGGACCCCATGGGGAAACACCGCCCCACTGAGATTGACCCATTTGAGATGTACGGCATGGACGCCAACGACATCCCTGAGGAGTTCGACTCCAGGACAAACTGGCCAAACTGCCCCTCGCTGAAGGAGATCCGTGACCAGTCGGCCTGCGGCTCATGCTGGGTAAGTGACCAGTGGTCAAGACTGAACTGACCACTTGGCTTGTGTTCTGCCCAGGGCTTTTCCAAGGATTGGGGGTACAGGCTGTCCAAAATAATCACTTGCAATTGCCTGCAAAATTTTGGGGAGTCATGAAAAAAAATTGTAAGCTGTGCAACTGTCTTGGACAATAGTGACCGTCCAATTGATGGCTGGACAGTTTGCTGGAAAAAGCCTGAATTGAGACATTTTTTTGAGAGGTTAATTGGAGCATAAAACTGAATATTGGAATTTGAACAGAATATTTCTATCACATGTGTTATGTTATAAAAGTAGAGTGTTTTTTCAGTCAAAAGCTAAATATTGTTTACATCCAATATTTTGATATCTGTCAGAGCATTTTCATCAGAATAACGGAATGAAATATTGGGAGTAGTTTTTAAATATCATGATAGTTTTACAAATGTCTATTAATTTCATATCTTATATCTTTGTTTTTGTTTGTTTCCTTGCTGTAGGCCTTTGGAGCAGTGGAAGCCATGACTGATCGTATCTGTATCGCGTCCTCAGGAAAACAGAACGTTCACATCTCTGCTGAGGATCTGATGACATGCTGCGGATTTATGTGTGGAAATGGGTACGTTGACCAGTTACCTATAGGTTGACCTGTGGAAGTTGGTACTTGACCAAACTGTAGATTTACATGTTGAAATGGGAACACTGACCAGTTAAATATACATTGGATTGTAGAAAAAAAGGTATGTTGACCAGTTGATCCTTAATAATTACAACAAGTACACTGCATCTGAACAAATCTCAGCAATCTGAAGAGTTTTGATATTTGTGTTTCAGTTGTAATGGAGGTTTTCCAGGTGGTGCATGGTCTTACTGGGTGAGAGATGGCATCGTCTCTGGTGGTCAATATGGCAGTCATCAGGTAGGTGACAAGATTTTGATAAACAGATAATTAACTGTCACCTTTGGACTGGTCTAGAGGCGTTGGTTTGGGCTGGAGAGTTGGGAAGGGGGCTTAATGTAACAGTGTGAACTTTACAGTGAAATAAGCGAAGGTCGAGGGACTTTTTATTTTGTATGGGGGCTTAATGTAACAGTGTGAACTTTACAGTGAAATAAGCAAAGGTCGAGGGACTTGTTATTTTTGATTTCTTTACTTTTAAGAATGAAGAAAATTTTGATTGACCGCGGTATGGCAATATCAGATATGAAGACCAGTTTCTGATTTTTAATTTAATTTTGCCTTGAGGTGGATCTTTCTTGGCAAAGGGGGCAGGTCCCGTAACTCGAAAGCATCGTGTGTTGCGACCAAGTGTCTTGATTCCATAACTCGCCCATACTCGCCCCATATAATACATTGTAGCCTCTATTTGATNGTCAGCAAAAATAAGTTTTATAAACTTACTGAGTTGATTTGGACTCCTTACCTGTATTCAATTGTGCTGAGCACTGATTCTCTTTCCTCACTACTCGTGTACTACCAGTACACAACTACTGACCCCCAGTGCCCTAGGCTAATACCATAAAAAGGACAGTCACATCTCACCATGACCAGTGCTAGGTCATTGCCTGTTATGACACCTGGGCAGTTCACTTACTACTGTTCATCAACTGTGTTGCAAAAAACCAAGAAACTGTTATTTTCCTTATTTTATAAGAACATTTAAGACCCCATTCTCATATCTAAATTGATCTAGCAGGATCGACCCATCTCCGAGGTGATTTTTGCTAAATTGCATTCAGAGCAAGTGACTTAATTATAGATGTCTAGCATGCCTATGGGAGCTGCTAAACAATAGTTAATTAATCCCTAACAGCTAGTATGGGAATGGAGTCTTAGGCTTCGTTCACATGCAATGTCTATTTTCTAAATTCTATTTTCTATTTGCGGCATGTCTTATGATCACGGTCTGTGCACTGATTACCCCGCTGCGTAATTACTGGCAGTGCGAGGCACTTACTATAAGTTACTATAAGTAACTGGCTCGCGCTGCCAGTAATTACGCGGCGGGATATTCAGTGCACAGACCGTGATCATAAGATAGCACGAATAGAAAATAGAATTTAGAAAATAGACATTGCATGTGAACGAAGCCTTAGTATTACACAAACAATACCTTGATTATAATTTGGCTGTTGGCATTATAATTATAATTGTTTACAGGCTCAAAAATAAAAAAAAACCTAGAAAACTCCCATGTTCTGTAATATACCCAGCATGTATTGTATATGTTATATGAAGACTACGGAGTGATTTGACTGTTTTAGGGTTGTCAGCCATATTCTCTCCCTTCATGTGAGCACCACACCTCAGGGTCACGGCCCCCCTGCAAGGGGGACTACCCCACCCCAAGATGTCAGAGATCCTGCGAGTCAGGCTACGCCATTTCTTATTCCAAAGACAAACATTATGGTAGCTACCACTGTATATGAAGTATTTTCCTACCAGAAATCCCCAGCCATTATTCCCCTTGCTTTTGTCTACCATTTTTTTGAATGATGGAGTGATACATGTACCTTTTTATAAATGTTTCTCAACATTATTTTATCTTCATTCCAGGCATAACATATATAGATATCTTGAAGTTATTTTACAATGTTTTATTGTTGACATAAGTACAGCATGTTTTTTATAGTACTTTAAATTACAGGTCAAAGTGCAGTGCCTAAAGTATTTTTCACTACATAATCTTGATGTGAAATTGTTATGAGACATTTACCAAATTTCATATGCATTTAGTCAAGTTAAACCTACTAGTATATATTAATTATTATTTTTTTGACAATTAATCCTTTACTAAGAACTTGACCAGTTAAGAACAGGGGTATATACAGTGTAGTGTAAATGTCTGTGAGGGATGGTTTACAATGAATTTTCTCAACATAGCTGATGTGCACAAACTCCACAGGGACTCTAGCTGATACTATTAGAGCAACAGACTAACACGCCCCCTCCTGATGTTGAGTAGAATATGGAAAAGCTGGAGATTATACCAGCACATTGGAAACTAGAGAATGCATTAACTGGGACGATAAAATTCATTGTGAATGGTCTCTAAGACTGTCAATCACTTGGAGGATGTTTTGCTGACATGGGAGAAGATATTTTTTAAATCACACAATTATAAAATTTTCCTCAACATATTCCCAAGCAAGCCTCACCTATTTTCCCTCCTCCCTCCCCCAGGGTTGCCGTCCCTACTCCCTGCCTTCCTGCGAACATCACGTCAATGGCTCCAAACCCGCTTGCAAGGGTGATGACCCCACCCCTAGATGTGAGAAAAAGTGCGAATCTGGGTACAGCGTGTCTTACAAAGAGGACAAAAACTACGGTAAGTGCAGGAATTAACGAGAAAAAAATAGCCTAGCTTTTCTTTCCAAGTTTTCTGCTTTTGGAACTGTCTTCATGCTTCTGAACGTGCAGAAATTTATACATTGTAGCAAAGTGTGTGTGTGTGTGTGTGTGTGTGTGTGTGTGTGTGTGTGTGTGTGAGAGAGAGAGCGAGCATACTGCTTAATGCATTTTCTCATTTTGTTTGCTTTGGTAAAGGGAAGAATGGTCAAATTTAATTTAGAGTTAATTATATTTCAAGTTTTTTTGACACTGTTAAGTATGTCATACAAATTAATGTTTTAACATTAACTTAAAAGTATTGAAGTCTTCTATTTTGCACCCAACCCAGTGTTGTAGGTAATGACAGAGCAGAATGGAAAATTTGTATAACAAAGCTGTCTGAGAATTACATAATTAAAATATGCTTTCATATTCCAGGCAAGTCCCACTATTCAGTGCGTTCCTCTGAGAAATCCATCCAGACAGAGATCATGACCAACGGGCCTGTAGAGGGCGCTTTTACCGTGTACGCTGACTTCCCCAGCTACAAGTCAGGTATGACAACATTTTACAGTCACTGTTATAATGTCTTCATTCAAGTTGGGTAATTTAAGAAGACAATATTTTTGTTATAATTGAAAATGATATAGTGATACCAAAATATTTAATGATCAGACCACATTTACATGTACAAAATGCATGTTTCTTTATAATACTTGTTTCTGAAAATATGATTATAGAATATGTGTACTTAGTGTTAGAACTGAGTTTTTACGAAAGTGGATCTGTAGAAATTCTCTCACTGCAGCAATGAATGTGTTTTATTTCTAGGTGTGTACCACCACACCTCAGGGTCAGCCCTGGGGGGTCACGCTATCAAGGTCCTGGGTTGGGGCGTGGAAAGTGGCACCCCCTACTGGCTGGTAGCAAACTCATGGAACCCTGACTGGGGAGATCAAGGTGAGAGCAAGATAAATATATATATATATATATATATATATATATATATATATATATATGAATGGATTTATAAATAGATGGCTAAAAAATAAAGAAAATAATGGTAAATAAATAAATGAATGAATAAATAGTAAATAAATAAATGTATATAAACACACAGACAAACTAACAGATTGAAGGTTGAGTGAGTCAAAATGATTGAATGGAAATATGAAATGTAAATAATGGGAAAAATATTTTGAATTTATGAATGAATAACTAAAATATATTTCAAATTAGAAAGACATGGTCACAGGCACATGACATTGTAATTAACTTCGAAAAATTAATTTGGTCAGGAGATACTTATGTCTATTGCTGGTATAATTTTATACTTCTTGTGTAAAATTAAGACGATTCCTAATATTTTTTTTACTTAGATCTGCCATGAATACCTACAGTTATTCAGCATGGTTGAAAGTTGCTTATAGTAAGAATGAAGATGGACCAATTAGATTTAAAAACTATTTCTATTCCCAGGTTTCTTCAAGATCAAGAGAGGTACCGATGAGTGTGGAATTGAGAGTGGAATTGTTGCAGGTCTTCCCAGAGTCAACTAAAATACATCAGATACCACAAACAACACAGCAGCAGTAGCAATTACATGAGAGAAGAGTTGGTACCTTGTTGTTTCAAATTGATTTAACATTATCATTTGTTTGTTTGAAGAGAGACTTTCAAGATCGTGATAGTTCTTCTATGCAACTTTCACTAGGAATAGGGAGAAAAGAAATTCGAAATAATCAAAGGAATCCGATTTGCAATAATGCCTTTATTAATGCCTTTCAATTTTTTCATTACTTTATCATTCCATGAAGGAAATGAATTAGAACTGTTGAAATAAGTCGAACTTGTGAAAATCCAGAATGTCAAAATTTTATATATTTGACAGAGCATAGTGTATATTATGTCTTTGAGATGTGAATATCTTTAAAAGATTTCTTATAATTTAATATGTGATGTATTTTGGAAGATTTTTACTACAACGAGATTTGGCTTTAATAAATTTTGAATATATTTTTTTGGTGTTTGGTACATTTTAGTACAAGGTTTATAGCAAGCGATATCCAGTAAGAAAAGTTCACACGGGGGGTTGGTCTTAGATGAAAGTAACGGTCCATCAACAATTTCAAATATACATTTAAAAAAAAAAAAATTGAGATAAAATATATTAAACAAATTTTCATTAACTAATAATAAAAAACACATGAAGCAGATAAAGTGCAACAAACCTTTATTAACCTACGAATATAAATAACACCTGTACATGATTAGGTGATGAGATTACATGATAAAGTAACAGAAACATGGCATGTGATGTTGGAGACGGACGGAGAACTGGTGAGGAACAACGCACATGCAGGGGTGTGCACACTTAACGTGCGACCATGTGCAGATTACGAGACAAATGCCTTTTTGTCAACTATTTTTAGACATGATACACTGCTGAAATTTGTCATAGTTTATGCCATGTATTTTAACATTATGCTGACAGTGAACGTAATTTGCTATCACAATGTTACACACTCAGGTTGGGCTTAACTGGTAAAAATCCATGCACAAATTTAGTGTGTCACTCAAAAATCTTATTTACAATAATCTGACAAAAATTATGCTTTTAAATCCAGCAAATATAACAATACCAGCAAAAGTATATAGCTTTCCACTGTACACCTGCAATAAATTCGTTTGATAATATACTAAATTGTAAATTTTACAATTTAAACACCTCAAATAAACTGTTGTAAACACCCACAATTAGCATTACAGGCAATATATTGGCAAACCTGATAAAATAACTGTGTTATGCCACACGTCATGGAACAGCTGGTATATGTCAAATGCAAACAACATGCAAATTCTCAGCAAATCAACCAATAAGCAGTCACGTTACATGAGCAGATTGGCAAGTTTAACAACAAGATTGGAGGCAGATTTGGGTGATTAATAAGATGAAATCAACCTTATTAATTAAATATCTTTGCTCATGATTAATATTACATATAAATATATCAGGATAAGTGCATTCTAAGGGGGTTCCACAATAAATGTACAGGTTCCAAAGTCAAATCTGATGCTTTGTGTTGTTGAATTGTGGGCAGAGATATCAAACCACTTCACGCGTATCTGTACATAATAACTGACTGCTAGTGCTGCAATCTTGTGCTTAATATTATATATACAATGGATTTACAATGAAGACTTAATTGTGTGGTCACAATATACATGTATGATAACAATTATAATAATGAGCCGTGTGAAGAATACGCTATACTAGGAGAAGTGCACTTTACACATCTTAAAATGCGCTGTGTGTAATGAGAAAATTTGAAAGGCCTCTTAAAATTCTGCTTGTTTTTGATATCGGTTCTCTTGACCAGGATGTTAATTCTGAGTGGAGATGAAGTTGAGGAAGATGGAGTTTTCTTCCTTCATCTTTCCTACACAGGTGCTTGTAGAACTTAACTCCAATCTTAACACTTGTCCTTCTTAAGTTCTCTTATTTGATAATATTACTTTGTTACATAAACTTGATCAACTCAAAGGTAAACCTTGAAGTGTACAGCTTTCACAGCACAATAGCATTGATTAGAGATAATACAGATATCAAACATTACAGATTAATGTCATGAAACCACTCACAATATATAACAGACAACTGAATGTGACTGACCAGAAAATATAATACTGCTGGAAATGCACGAATAAGATTTCTTTGGTTAAAATATACTGAAATTTTAGTACAGATGTCATAACTGGAGAAACACTGGGGGAAAAAAAAGGTTCAGAAACTGGTCACGTTTATATTTTACCTGCAAAAACTGACGTTGCATTTGATTCTAAAAAACAAGGAACAACTTAAATACAATTCCAACTTAAAAACTTACAGGAAATGTTCACTGCTTTAAAAATGCATAAAAAGTGATTTGAACTTTGGTGCAAGCAAAAATGGATAAAGTCACAGCAAACATATATGTGTACCATTCCTACTGGATTATATTACACATTCCCCTCAAAACCCTGCAATAACATCTGCCTCTCCATCTTAATATTATGGGATAGCGATGAAGTTCAAATATAAATATTGTATGTACAAAGCCTTTCTCTGCCCTTGATATTTTAACAAGTAAAACATATCAATAAAGGCAGACATTTCATATATAAAACAAAATGCAGATTCATGATTTCTGGTCCGTCCAAAATAAAATTATGCATCTTCCAAGGAGAGATTGAAAACACCAAGAATTTTTTCATGGTGATGACCTCTGTGACCTAGGTTAGAGAAAGATGAGACACCATTATCCAAATGGTCTTATCCAAAGAGCCACTGGTCAAGTTTACACCATATCAACCCCACTCTTTCTTTCTCAAAAATTTTTATACTTCATCTTTCACTGAATGCTGTTCCCTCATTAGGAAGAATGCATTTACAACCCAACAGCTTGAATGAAATGTAATACACACAATGGAACATTGCGTGCAACTCGAAAAATGTCTTCAAGTGTCAAGGTCAAAAGTTGTGGGTGGCTGTCAAAAAACATGTCTATAACATCTGCACTTTTCATGGACCATGATTCTCCAAATGAATTCTGTGTTTGTGCACTGTTACTTATGTGAAAAACATCCTTTTTTAAAGACTATATCCCTGCAATCCCAAGTTCCTTTTCCAAATATATGCTGCCTCTTTTGCTCACATTCCTAAGACTCGCTACTATAATACTGTTGCTTTGGACCCCTGTGGCATGAAATCAGATTCTAGTTTTTCTTCCAAATTTCTTCTAGATTTCTTTCTGGGGTCCTCCATCACGACTGAAAGGACAAAGATGCACAATGACAATAATTTTACTGCATTTGTCAGAAAAAAATTTCAACAAACGAAAGATCAGATGAGTACAAAAATTACAAGCATGGGGGGAAAAAAACATTGAACACATGGATCAGAAAGAAATAACTGCAATGAAAAAGGATGACCAACATTCTGAAATAAAACACGCAAGTACAAATGTTCTAAAAGTAAATAAATATAAATAAACATAATGGGGTGAATCAAAGCCTTAAGAAAAGAAATCCAGCACCAATACATTAGAAGCTAAACAAAAGGAAAAATGAAATAATAATTATACACATAAAAGCTGTACTGTATAAAAAAAAAACAGGGAAGTAAAACATAACAACATAAATGCTGAGTGAAAAAAATAAAAGAATAAAAAGTTACAACATGTCAGTCACCATTCACCGGGGAAAAAACACATCCAACAGCTACAAAACCAAGTATCAATGGTGGTTTTCTATAAACAGATCTTATAACTAAAACAAAAACATAAAAAAACTTAAAAACACGAATGTCCNTGTGTCTGTACATAAAAAACACATGAAACAGATAAAGTGCAACAAACCTTTATTAACCTACGAATATAAATTAACACCTGTACATGATTAGGAGATGAGATTACGTGATAAAGACGATGATATTATCGTAACAGATATATCGCACGTGATATTGGAGACGGACGGAGAACTGGTGAGGAACAACGCACATGCAGGGGTGTGCACACTTAACGTGCGACCATGTGCAGATTACGAGACAACTGCCTTTTTGTTGACAACCATTTTTAGACATGATACATTGCTGAAATTTGTCATAGTTTATGCCATGTATTTTAACATTATGCTGATAGTGAACGGAATTTGCTATTGTAATGTTACACATTCAGGTTGGGTGTAACTGGCGAAAATCCATGCACAAATTTAGTGTGTCACTCGAAAATCTTATTTACAATAATCTGACAAAAATTATGCTTTTAAATCCAGCAAATATAACAATACCAGCAAAAGTATATAGCTTTCCACTGTACACCTGCAGTAAATTCGTTTGATAATATACCAAATTGTAAATTTTACAATTTAAACACCTCAAATAAACTTGTAAGCACTCACAATTGGCATTACAGGCAATATATTGGCAAACCTGATAAAATAACTGTGTGTTATGACACATGTCATGGGATTAAGTCATTTTTACATGATGAACAGCTGGTATATGTGAAATGCAAACGACATGCAAATTCTCAGCAAATCAACCAATAAGCAGTCACGTTACATGAGCAGATTGGCAAGTTTAACAACAAGATTGGAGGCAGATTTGGGTAATTAACAGGTTAATGAAATCAACCTTATTAATTAAATATCCTTACTCATGATTAATATTATATATAAATATATCAGGATAAGTGCACTCAAAGGGGGTTCCACAATAAATGTACAGGTTCCAAAGTCATATCTGATGCTTTGTGTTGTTGAATTGTGGAAAGAGATATCAAACCACTCCACGCATATCTGTACATAATAACTGACTGCTAGTGCTGCAATCTTGTGCTTAACATTATATATACAATGGATTTACAATGAAGACTTAATTGTGTGGTCACAATATACATGTATGATAACAATTATAATAATGAGCCGTGTGAAGAATAAGCTATACTTGGAGAAGTGCACTTTACACATCTTAAAATGCCCTGTGTGCAATCAGAAAATTTGAAAGGCCTCTTAAAATTCTGCTTGTTTTTGATTCCGATTCTCTTGATCAGGAGGTTAATTCTGAGTGGAGATGAAGTTGAGGAAGATGTGTTTTCTTCCTCCATCTTTCTAACACAGGTGTCTGTAGAACTTAACTACAATCTTTACACTTGTCCTTCTTAAGTTCTCTTATTTGATAATATAACTTTGTTACATATACTTGGATCAACTCAAAGGTTAACCTTGAAGTGTACAGCTTTCATACCACAATAGCATTGATTAGAGAGAATACAGATATCAAAGATTACAGATTGATGTCATGAAACCACTCACAATATATAACGGACAACTGAATGTGACTGACCAGAAAGTATAATACTGCTGAAAATGCCTGAAAAATGGCTTTGGTCAAAATATGCTAACATATTAGTACGGGTTACAGATGTCAGAACTGAAGGAATATTCAAAAATAAGCAGCAAAAGATCCAGGACACTTTTCATGTTCATATATTAGCTGCAAGAACTGGCATGTTGAGTTTGATTTTTAAAAACAAGGAACAACTTAAATCAACTTAAATACAACTTTAAAAAAATTACAGGAAATGTTCACTGCTTTAAATATGCATAAAAAGTGATTTGAACTTTGGTGCAAGCAAAAATGGATAAAGTCACTGCAAACATATGTGCACCATTCCTATTGGATTATATTACACATTCCCCTCAAAACCCTGCAAAAACATCTGCCTCTCCATCTTACTATTATGGGATAGCAATGAAATTCAAATATAAATATTGTATGTACAAAGCCTTTCTCTGCCGTTGATATTTTAACAAGTAAAACATATCAATAAAGGCAGACATTTCATATATAAAACAAAATGCAGATTCATGATTTCTGGTCTGTCCAAGATAAAATGATGCATCTTCCAAGGAGAGATTGAAAACACCAAATGTTTCCATGGCGATTACCTCTGTGACCTCTGTTAGAGAAGGATGAGACACCATTATCCAAATGGTCTTATCTGAAGAGTCACTGGTTTATGCCGTATCAACCCCACTCTTTCTTTCTCAAAAATTTTTATACTTCATCTTTCACTTAATGCTGTTCCCTCAATAGGAAGAATGCATTTACAACCCAACAGCTTGAATGAAATGTAATACACACAATTGAACATTGCGTGCAACTCGAAAAATGTCTTCAAGTGTCAAGGTCAAAAGTTGTGGGTGGCTGTCACAAAACATGGCTATGCTATCTGCACTTTTCATGGACCATGATTCTCCAAATGAATTCTGTATTTGTGCACTGTTACATATGTGAAAAACATCCTTTTTTAAAGACTATATCGCTGTAATCCCAAGTTCCTTTTCCAAATATATGCTGCCTTGTTTGCTCACAATCCTAAGACTCACTATAATACTGTTGCTTTGGACCCCTGTGGCATTAAATCAGATTCTACAGTTTTTCTTCCAAATTTCTTTCTAGATTTCTTTATGGGGTTCTGCATCACGACTGAAAGGACAAAGATGCACAATGACAATAATTTTACCGCATTTGTCAGAAATAAATTTCAACAAACGAAAGATCAGATGAGTACAAAAATTACAAGCATGGGGGGAAAAAAACATTGAACACATGGATCAGAAAGAAATAACTGTAATGACAAAGGATGACCAACATTCTGAAATAAAACACGCAAATACAAATGTTCTAAAAGTAAATAAATATAAATAAACATAATAGGGTGGGGAGGTACATAAAAGCAACTGAATCAAAGCCCTAAAAAAAGAAATCCAGCACCAATACATTATAAGCTAACAAAGGAAAAACTTAAATAATAATTTTACACATAAAAGCTGTATTGTATTAAAAAACCAGGGAAGTAAAACATAACAACATAAATGCTGAGTGAAAAAAATAAAAGAATAAAAAGTTACAACATGTCAGTCACCATTCACCGGGGAAAAAACACATCCAACAGCTACAAAACCAAGTATCAATGGTGGTTTTCTATAAACAGATCTTATAACTAAAACAAAAACATAAAAAAACTTAAAAACACAAATGTTCAGCTAAAAATACACTTCACCTAAAAAAGAAAAGTAAAATAAATAACATATATAAAAACCAAGGTGGGAGGAGGGGGGGGGGGGCATGCAAACAGATTCTCTACCTCCATATGCACGCTGACTCAGTATTCTAGAGCTATGTCTTCTTCCAGGTCGTCATTGATGTTCTTTTCCAGCTCTTTGCGAACCTTGTGTCCACGGAAACTCTTCTGTATCATTATGGCAGCCTGGAGGGCGCAAAATAATTTTTTAAAAATCAAATATATCTTATCCGCCTCCTGGGGCTAACATAGTCACATTTGGAAAGTTTAATAGGATAATCTGTTCAAAAGTATGAACTGAGGAGATATATCACATATTTTATAAAATATGTACTGATATTGTAGCAAACACTGAAAACAAATTCCCTATCTCTGCCAATGACTAGTTAAGACAACAGCTAGGTGATCAATTGTGTTAGAGAAGACAAAGCATCCCAGCACATCCGGGCACAACCAGTACCTCATTCTCTTTCTCATAATCGGCGTCAGCTTCTTGTTGTGCCGTCTGGGCGTCGGCCTTGTTCTTATACATCTTCTGCATGGCAACCATGGCCTACGAGTTTTGGGAAGGAAACAATGACGATGATAAAAACTTCCTAATGTTTTGTATTATTATCTGTACTTCTACTAAAAGTTATCCTGTAAACGTTTGATGAAGTTCAAAGTCATTTTTGTGTCTCATTATCCTGCAAAACTACTTTTCATTCTAAATCTGCACCTTAAAAATCCAATGACAAAGATATGTTTTTTTTTTCTTTTTTTTGTGAGTAACAAGAACACTTGGGTAAAATATTTTAACATTTTTACAATAACCCAGAATACTTAGACTCAATGTAGACACGCACACAGAAATCACACAAAATCCAAATTTAAAATAATAATCATTTCTCGCATGCTATCATGAAATATGAAATTTTAAAAAAAGAAGTAAAAAAGAAAATTAAACAAAAATGGCTGCTTGCTTTCAATTTTAAAAAAATCATCTTAATAACTATGATAAACTATCCTTATCTGTAAGCTAGTCCCAAAAACTCAATAAACCCAAGATATAAAAATTGAGTTTTGCATGTTCTCAGTTTAGAAACTAAGAACTTTTTAATCTCCTCCATTGTTGTAACCAAAACAAAACACATGCCCACACTAGCAGAGCAAATATGTGAGTTGAGATAAAGGAAATTAAATGTGAATAATTAAAATATAATAGGTAGACAAACTAAAAAATTCACTCTTATTAATGACACGGTTGAACCTTGCTAGTGGGAAATCACATAGAGAGAACTTAAATCCTTTCAAAACATAATAAAAGCCTGAAATCACAGCAGAATAAAAAGTAAATACATGCATAAAGAATGGTAGTCATAATAAAAAATTATAACTTGTCCAAAACTAAGGTTTTTCATCTATCTGACCTTAAATTTAGGATTGTTAAATCTCTGCTTCCATTTTTGTGCTATGTCCTCTTTTGGTTTAGGCGTGGGTTGCTTGGGGGGAGGAGAAAGTTCTCGGACCTTGTTTTGGAAAGTGAGCAAACGTGAACGGGGAGCACGACAAGCGGATAATGTGCCAGAAAACATGCAGCCAACAAATGGACAATTGGACGGTACAAAACTTTACACCTCTTAACTTTTTAAAGCTACATTCTCAGTTGTGCACAATTATAAAGAAGGTCTGGATTTAATTTTAACAAATAAAAATGTGCAGCATAACAAACTTCTACATTCTTGAACTTTGTACCAAATTCAAGCATTACAAAAACCTACACTGTGCACACCCAAATATGCCATTTTACTGCACCCATACCCATTAAAAAAGTTTCAAAGGAAGATGGATGGACATTGTCACGCACTGGATGGTCAATTGTAGATCTTGTTTGACTGATTTGAGATTATGTACTGCTTTCATTTTAGAATTTATTTATTAATGATAAATCCCTCCTTCTCAATGAATTCTGCTGAACTTTTGGAATATTTTACACAAAATCTAGTATCTTTCAAAATTTTGATTTTCATGTGAAAAAAGACATCTTCCCAAATAGAGAAATTTATACACCAGTTCCCACTTTTATCAACAGTGGATAGCGCTATTCTGTGGATAACAGTATCCACTGGATTAAATTCTTATCCTCTGGATGGTTATCCTGAGGATAGCAGCCATTTTAAACCACTGGACAGCAATTTCAGTATCTGGCGTTTAGAAAAAAAATTTTTTACCCACAGGATAACTGTCCAGAAGATAACAATTTTATATAATGGATAATGTAGATAGCGCCATCCAGTGTTGATGAAACTGGGCATTATCCAAAGCATCCTAGAAAATAAAGCTGGCAACCCTGCATGCAAAAATCCAACAGCACTTAACATAAATTTGTGTCAGATAAGGGGGGGATTAAACGGTAAATCAATGATCTGGGTATCCGCCATCTTGATATGCCAGATCCGCTAGCGTATCAGGAAACACAACACTGAACGAAGCCACTGATGCAACTACATATAACTACTGGCAGTCAAATTAATGGTGTCATATAAATAGAAGCCAATCCTACCCCTACACAGCCTCCTAAGCTCAACTGAAATAAGCAACGCTAAAAACATCAAAGGCAACAATGAACAGATCTTGACATATCTATCAAACAAAAAGAAGAAAGGAAACAAAGAAATATATTAAATAAAATTGATCAAAATAAACGCAAGATGGATGGACTCATCGACAGCAGATATAAATGCAGTCCATAGGGCAAGAAATCAAAATAAACTGAATCTCTACAAAGCACTTTATGCAAATAAATGGATCAAAAATGACACTGAAACTCAAGAAATGAAAGTGAAACTCGTTGGTCTACCTCATTATCATTATCATTATCAGTTATTTCAGTTATATCTGGTATTTCATTCTCATCTTCGTCTGCCTTCCTCTGTTCTTTCAATTCCTGTACTTTCTGGCGATCTTGATGTCCTCGAAATGCAGCTTGTATTTTTATAGCTGCCTCTTCCAGGTCCTCCTGAGGGTATTGTGTGGGAAGAAATTGATGGTTTAATTATGAAAATGTGAAAAAAAAGAAAGAAATGTGTCATGTTAAAGGAACAAAAGTGGTAAAGCAATCTAAGAGGAGATGCTCTGTAGACATCTTCACATGGTAGCAACCCTCCTCAGCACTTAACGTCTAAATACTACATCTTTATCGTAAAATAAAATATCATAAAATATTCCCTGTAACAAATAATTACATTAATATCTTTATCTAAATGTGTCCAGAAAATAATATATGAACCATATGATTTATAACAACATATTATAAAAATAACACAAGCTAAAATAATTTGCATCATGACAAATGCAATTTTTCATACATTTTTGTCATTTATAATTCAAATCGTTTTTGAAATTGCTAGGATTGAAACATCAGTTCAAAGTCGTGAATAGTTTGAACCATTTTTTTTTTGCAAAAATGGAAAATTTATGTCTTTTAAGTGGCAAAGAAACCTCGATGATAATCTAAATTTAGGCAGAAATTCTTGTTTAAAAAAAGTTGACCCACCTCATTTTGGCCGTCGCCATCGACAGTGTCATTGTTGTTGCTGGTCTCTGTTTGATCTGTTCTGTTGGTCTGAAAGAGGAAGCACAATGAAAATAAGATGTTTTCAATCATCACATCAGCATGACAAGGAAAAATAATTTATTTTACAACCCAATACAAGACATTTCAATACAATACAGGTGCAGTTTGCCTAGGGTGCAGAAAAAGAAATTCTGAAAATGTGTCAAAAATTGAAACAAATCTGAAAGAGATAGAAAATTCAGAATATTAATTTATCAACCCTGAAATAGATCCAAAGCAAGGCATCAGTTATGATCCACTGTAGAGAGTAGAAAGTTGCAAGTAATAGTCACAATGTCTTAACATAGCCTTAAACTTTTATCAAATTACTGATGATGGCAGTGGTATTGTACATTACACTGTGTACTGTTCTTTCTGAGAAATAAAATCTAGAAGTGCACTTCATAACTGTAAATTATCAAAATCAGTTCTCCATAAAACTTGTAAAAATTTAAGTGAGACTGATTTCCTTACGAAAACGCCATGTCTGCGTATGAACCGCAACACCAAATCCTTGTATGCTTATGTTCAAGAAAAGCCAAACTTCAGGATTACATATTAAATAGTAGCAGCACAAGTGTTTAGGATCCTTTTATAGAGTTTGCTATATGTTACTCAGGTGAGTAGATAAAAACCAAGACAGGGTCCCAATCAAGGCTGCTGGGATAAGACAAAGGTCTCACTGATATGCGACCTCGAAAGGAAGGTTATGAGCTACAGGTCAAGGTCATTAAGGTTAAGGTGAAGGTCAGTAGAGTCTGTAGACAAGGTAAGAGTCAATATCACTGTTATTCAAGACGTCAAACTAAACCAAGTGAATGAAGATGATTAGAAAGGGTGGTGGATATCACTCTGTATGATGTGCACCAAAAAGTCCTGAGAATGTGAAATCTTTAAGGTCAAGGTGAAAACAAGGTGCCATGGAAACCACTAAATCCCATTTTTAAGTTTCTACTTGTATGTGCAAGTGTGTTAGGCTACAGGAATGATCTTCTATGTTATTTGAGGATCACACAGGAGGGTTCACGCTGCAGGACAACCCATCTTACATCAGGTTCTGTTTGATTTGCACTGTCTCTGCGCCGAGATGAAGACAGCTCACGACGTGATGGGGGCTTCTCCTGGGAAGGGGTGACAGCTTTGTCCAAATCTTCCACCACCACAGTGTCATCTTTGAGGTCATCGTGGGCCTTGTTTTGTTCATGGACAGTTGGCTCATCCTTGTGGGTCACGTCTGTTTCTGATTCCAAGCCCTCGTCACCTGGAGCAGCACCATTATCTAAACTTGCGGCAGCCTCGTTATTGTCAAGGTCATCAATTTTGTCATCCTGAGTTTCATCAACTCTGTAAGTTGAAGAACCATCTTCATTTTGGCTGTTTCTATCTTCCTCGTTGTCATGGTGACCAGCAGCCTCTGTCTCATCTTTATCTGCCTCATTTTCAGCACTTTCTGCCTTGTCGTCAGGGTCAGATGTCTCTTTTGTGAACGTTTCTCTTCCACCCATTTTATCAATGTCCTGAGAGAGTAAGATAAAGGATTCGGGAAATACATCTTTATGTCAAACAAATTAATATCTTACTAACAAAAGAAGAATCCTGCGTACGGGAGTCTAATAAATTTACATCCAACAACATTTAATAACACTGGTAAACAAAACAACTGAATTTGAAACTATGGTAAAAAAGATTATGCATTTTAATGAAAAAACTACTTAAATGAAAAAATTATCCACTACCTACACATTCATAGTTGAAATAAAATAACTAAATCAGACATATGCTGTTGGCACACATACACAAAGGGAGCAAGATAAAATACATTGTTCAAGTTACATACATATATAAACTATGTTAAAACTAAAACCAACTTGGGCCTGGGGTTAAAGAAATAATGACACATAATGTAAAAGGTATAGGAGTGCACAATACAGTGTGTGAGTGTGTGTGTGTAAAATGAAAAAAAAAAATCTATACTATGGAGTTGAACTCAAATTCAAGATAAAAGACTGACCACTAAATACCAGCATATAATGCATAAAATAGAGATTGCATAATAACATAATAACCTGACTGGAATCTAAATCTAAAGAGATGATAAAAGTGTCACAAGGTATTTGACACAAGGACATTTGGATAAAAAAACCAGCAAAATATTTTCTACTGGACAGTGCTGCCATCTTCAGTCATCAATTTATCCTCGCACTATTAAACACTATTCAACTTCGATCTTAAGCCCCGCATCTAAATTATTTATATAAATTTCAGCAAAATAATAACAACTCTACGTACTCATAGGCCCATTAACATGGTCTATCAGAATTCAATAAAGCTTGGGGCATGATTTATTTAGTCCTGTCAGTAATCAATCTATACTTCAGCAAAGCTACATGTTTGGAGAATAAATTGACGAAGTTGTTGAGCCTCCAATCAATGCTCACACGCTGATCAATCGATGCGTCGCCATGGAGAGTAGCAATGTCAAGGGTTACCCCATGGATTTATTGGAATTCTGCACTAAATGCAAAGGAGATTATTGATTGGTTATTATTTTCTCTGCAGGAGGGGGGTATTGGCACGTGTGCCTCTCGCACTTATGTGTTCACACCTAACACTTCAAACTACAGACGAAGGATACTTAATTATCAACCTTTGTGAAAGACACTGCATTAGTCCGTCAGAGGAAGTACTCTTTAGTTAGTCTGACAGTGATGTACCAGAAATTACATGCACTTTCCTACATTGTAAATTGATCTAGGTCTTGCCAACCATTTTCCCTATTGATTTTCTGGACAGAATTGTATCTGCTTAACTATCACTCTATCTATGTGAAAGCAGGTGGTTTAATTTTCTCTACAATGGAAATAATGCCTTATTCTAATATCATAATCTCATATTCTGTGATAAAAGATTTGCCAATATTTTCCTTCCTAATTATGAAATCTTATTTTCATACTTCAGGAAATCGCTAACAGTAAGCACAAGATGTATTTCTATGGTTATGAGCTTCAATAAAACAGGTTTTTATTAATTTTGCTTTCAGTGTTTCGTGTAGTCATGCAATTACATCTTCCTTCCTTCCTTTTCTCATTGAATCAGATATATCTTCAGAAGTTTAATAAACACAGAGATGTTTTCATAACTACAGCTTTCTAACCCATTCTATTCATCTCCCCATTACATAATCCCCTCTTGAAACAAGATAAATTTCATATAATCCACGGGTTTCTGAGCTCCCTGTTAATATTGCTTAAAAACATTTGTCTTTAAAAGATAAGAGGACTCACTGTCACTGGCATTATTACTGGGTAGAGTTTGTGATAACGTCTTGATCCTGATCCAAAACTGTTATCAACACATTCTCTTGTATCCTTATATCATATTTTGATAAAGTGTCAACTAAAAAAATTTGTATCTTAAAAAACTGCAGAAAAAAATGAAGGACTTAATAAAATGATGTTGTCACTCTGAAGGTAGCTTCTATTTCTTTTCCATAATATTACTATTTCTGATTATTATTAATATTATGGAGCTAGCCAACAATTTAGAAGGGGTGGACAGTAATGAAAGATCTCTTTTGCATTTTTATTTTTTAAAATTGGTGACCACTAACTTCGGGGACCTTAACAACGCTATTATGCAAGACCTGCTGCTGTCTTATTTTCTATTATGTAAAACTTTTTCAATCAATCTCTGATGGTGTTATCAGGTAGTGTCCTTCCAAACTTACACAAGATTATCTCAATCTTAATCATCTGAGCTAGAAATTCATCATCCAATATTTTCAACATTAATCACCAGTAGGGCATTAAGATCTCTACTGTATCTTAGGCTTAGTATCTTTGATTTATGTGAAATGAATAAAAAATATGCCATGAAAATTTAAGGTAAAATAAGACAGAGGATCTCTACACAGTTTGTTATACATTATCACCAAGAAGTTAGAGAAGTTGTGGTAAAAACACTGTGCAGATAAATAAACCCTATATTTTAACAAAATTAATTCATTCCGTCCAAACAGAAAGTTTTATGATAAACAATAAGCAGGGCAAGTTTGGTGGATAGCTGATTTTGATAAACTGGTAATAAAAGAAGTCATTTTTCAAATTTGTGGGTATATCCTGAACATTAAGACAATTACAATGTAGAAAAGAGAAACAGCAGTATTGAATTTCATGGCTATGCAACTACATCTACAAGTATCTTTAGATTAAGTTATCAAGCTAAGAAGCACTTCGTACAATATGTGTACAAAGCAGGTGTTGGTTGGTGCAAATTCACTTCTGGTGATTCAAGAACTGGGGAACACGACCCATACACACCTAAAATACACACAGCTTACCTTAAAGGGATAATAACTCTTCGTTTTGGCCAAAAAATGAATTTCCCAGGAGTAAACAACAATTTTCCCATACTTACCAATGGTTAATGAGTCCATTTTTACATTCAAAGTTAGTCCCTGTTTTTTTTTCCAAAAAGTTTGGTTTTTTGTTAAAATCTCTTAAGAGATTATTACAGAGTATAGCCATCAATGGAGGTCACGTGGTCTAAAGACAAGCTCAGATATCAGAATAATAGCTATAACTGCTGTTTTCGTCATAAAACAGAATATATTATATTTCTATGAGTTATTCATAATGTATTTATTGTGAAATATAGATTTCATACGAAGAGTTATTATCCCTTTAAATATATACCAAACATGTAGTCTACCCGACACATATATATTCTGTAACTAACACATTCTATTCCATGCATACAACTAACACACACAGTCTACCTGACTATCTCCCTTCAACTCTGCAACACGTTTACGATCCCTGTAACCGCGGAAACCCGCTTGTATTTTTGTAGCAGCCTCTGTTTCCTTGTCTGAATTATCTTCCACGTTTTGGTCGCTGTTATCACTTTGTGGAATGTTGTCATCTTCTGAGCTGTCATTATTGTTATTATTTGTTGTAGCACCATCTTTCAAATCTGCCACATGCTTTCTAGCCTTGTAACCACGGAAACCGGCCTGAATGGTGGTGGCAGCGGCTGTTTGTTTTTCTAAGTCGTCATCTTGATCTGTATTCTCCCCCTGCTGCAATAAGAATATACCATTCTACATGAGTTTTTTTTTTCCATTGTTAATATTGATAGTCACCTTAACCATGATCATAAAGCATGAAAAAAAAAAATAAATAATAACATTCAACTCCTGTTATGTGTCAAATATTCTTTCATTTACATCACACATATTCCCCTCACTTTAGATAATGTAGACTTAAAAAAAAACTTTACTGTTGGTTAAACATTATGTTACCTGAGCAAAAAATGTTCATTAGCTTGGTAGTTGGTAACCTAACGGTATAAAAGATTTTCGGCTAGTGTTTGATAATTTTCATTTATTATATTACCTCTTTCACTTCCTGTGTATTATCTGTCTCCTTACGTTCCTCAAAGCCTGCCTTCTGCTCTTTCTCCTCCTGTATTACAAATTTGTCAGAAACATTCTATCTGTGGCCAATACAACTGTCACAGTATCTCTTTAACAAATAAGTAAAAGTAAAAGTCTCCTCTAAACTATGTAAAAAATATCAAATTAAAAAATATTTTTGATAGCAGACAAACACAGTCATGCAATACCAGAATAATAAATAACACAATAATTATTCTAACTTATTTAATTATGAAACAAAAAAAGTTAAGCCAGAGATGATAGATGTGCAAGGCTCCAGTGCCTGAGTTAATATTTCAGCACAGAGTTGACGTTGCAATGCGCCATATCACCGCATACATTAACACAGAACAAACAACACTTCGTTTTCATGACATGATCTCTGCTGCTTCAAATGAAGTGCACTTAACTCGTGAGTGATCAGCGCTAGCATGCTGTTACATTTCCATGCACTCGTTGAAGTAGATACAAGTGTTAACAGTCAGGGTTACAAACTCACACACATAAAACACTATATTCACACAATCTACAGATTATCCCTGGTCAGTTCTCTTTGTTATATGTTTGATAAACCACAGGAGGTGGAGTATGATAAGCAATTGATCCATCACGCAGACAGAGTTATCGTATGTGCTGGTAACCATGGCAAACCATCCTTAACAAACAAACAACATCGTTCTGCCATCTAAATACTGTCTTCATGCTGGAATGATGTTGTTGGTCTGCTGGGATAGGATGAGGAGACAAGGAGGAGAGGGTGGGTGGGGGTTAGCTGTTAATTCATCACCATCACTGTCACCAATAATCAATCACCAACACCATGTACATAAACGTGAAAAATTATATTGTCAATTTGGTAACATTAATCAGTGAAATGAGCAAGACCCATAGTTATAAGTGGATGCCACTGTTAGAGGACAATTAATGCATATACATTTTATCATTGGTGAGAGTAGAAATATCAAGTGTTGCTAGGGTGTTATTGCATATTTTGATAATATGGGTGAATTCACCACGTGTGTTTGTGTGTGTGTGTGTGTGCACGTGCCCAAGTGTGTACATGCATAGGTGCATGTGTGTGTGAGAGAGAGATATCATTTCTAAACACTAAACATTCACAAAACTACCCATGATCAAAGCAATAACTAAGCAATAAGCAGTACATGTATCCAGCCCAGCTAGTACACTGTAGGTGCGGCATCAGTAGTGCGGCCATCACCAGTGCTGTGAAGTGTCTACATCATGTTTCTCTCTCTGATTGATGCTAGGAGAGAATGGAGTAAGCAAGAGAAGCAGTTACATCTAACTGCAGGTGCTACAGTAATAAAGAGTATGACATATCAATAATGACCTCATGTTGCCACTGTGATGTGTTAAATGTCACTGATCTGATAATTTTTTGTAAATTATAAATGATAAATAAATTCAAAATGATTTTAAAAAATAATGTTTTGGTGTTGTGTACAGGAAGAGAAGACAAGTTTTACTTTGCTTTTTAAATTACAGCAGAGTATTAATTTCAAATATCTTCTTATCAATATAATAAATCACTGACAATTTGTTTGTTTTTAGCAAATATTAAATCTAGGGCCCAATAGATTCATTTTCCGTCCCTCTTAAGACACATGCAGTGGCTTCGCATGAGGTCACATAAAATATTAATAGAAATATCACTGTGCTATTAGTCCAGGAAATCACACGGATCTGGTGCTAAACCGCCCCCAGACTTACTGCTGATGAAAGACGGCCGCGCCCTGCGTCTTTTTCCTCCGAAATTGACTCCTAAAGTATTGTGAAGTAAAGAAGTATAATTATTGTGAATATAACAAGACACTCCTAGGCTGTTGGTCTCTTGCTTGGTTTACAGCAACTGCTAAATTTTTTCTATAGAACAAATCACATGGAGTATATCACAAAAAAACGTGTGCATATAATTACAACAATTTTGTAGTCCATTTTTTTAAAACACAACAATAACATAAACATTTACAACCAGACATCATTTAACTTAAAAGAAGCAAATTACAACTAAGAATTTACTTAAACGGAACAGGAGAATCAGTTTAAACAATATAGAATAGCTTATAATGAAGAGGTTCTTTAACTGAGTTTCTGTAGAGGAAAATGATTTTAAGTCTGATGCGGGTGAAAGCATCTGGACCTTCTTTTCTTAAAAAAAAAATCATCTAATTTTCACACCTTCTCGCCTCCCTCATTAAAAGGGGCATCCAAATCCTGGCCAGAGGGCACCCTGATGTCCCGGGCAGGTTTGGGACCGGGATGGGACGGGACAGATTTCAACTGATTTTCCTACAATTAACGAGGCGATTCTTAGAGGGAAAGAATGGTCTGACAGGGCATTAAATATGGTTTGTGCCTAATTATGATTTGATCATACACCCCATTTCCATAGATTAGATCGACCTACTTTGGATCGATCTAACTCCCTGGGGGTTCGCGCTGAATAGCTGTCAGCCGGGCGGACACGAAAGTTAATTGCCCCTTACGGCTTGTAGTGGGCGGGGACGGACACTTAAGGGGGATTATCTGGCCGTAGTCTGGTGAGACTCCCCGCAGTGATAGATCGATCCAAAGTTGTGAGAATAGACCCATAGAATATGAGCTGTAAAAATCTCTGTTTTGACAGTTAAGGTGCTTAAAATTTTACAAAATAATTTTTTAAAGAATTTTCCCTACAATTACTTTGGTTCATTACAATCTGCCAAAATAATGTTGAAAAAAAAGTATAGTATCTATGATCTTTGATTTTTTTTTTACCATGAAGTCTGTAAACTATAGCAAGGAAAAAATCATGCACAAAATATGTACACTTTACATCACATTATAAATGCTATATCCGATTCAAATAAGGAATCCTTGATATAATCCTTATTTAGACATTTTATTTACATATCTTTTGCAAAGAATGCCAATCATTTAGTCAAGAAGAAAAACAAACTGGGATTGCAACAGGTTTTGATAATCTTTGACCAGGTTTTATTGTTACAATCTTTGTTAATCAAGCCATTGCTGAATGCCTTTCACTGTTTACATAGCTAACTGTGGAATCAATCAATTTGTTTGCCACTGGAGCAAAATCAATAAAACTAATATTAGGGTAGAAATCTGCAGTTTCAACCTTATTTCTTTTCACAACTGGGGAAAGACGGGAATTTTTTAAAAATTTCTATTTCAAATTTCCAAGTGTTGCCTTTAAAATCTTTTCTTTTGGCAATCCTGTTTTATTCAGTTTAAATACCTTCCCTTTATGGTAGCCTGTACAGTTTAACGATCAATTTGGTATCAATATTCTTTAGTAAAATACTCTGTGGATTCTTTTTTTAGCAACTCTATTCAGTAAGACCCTTTGTGATGACATTGGTATATTTTCTCATTCAACAATTATAGTTATTTGAAAGGGGAAACCTACTGAAATTTCTGTTTTCAAACAATTTATACAAAATCCTTTAAACTTTTTTTATTTCCCTATCTACTTGAGAATAAAGATCTATAGTTCCATGTGGGAAAGGCATACACGTATGAAGACATACCACTAATACACTGTCCTCTTTGCTATAAGTGTAATCTGGTGGCAGTGGTATTAGTATATAATTTCTACTATTTCTGCAGATGTGTTATTGTGTTTTGCTATGTAAAAAGAGGTCTGACCTGGTTAGGATCTGATGGTGATTTGGTCAGATTCTTGTCATCTGGGACTTCCTTGTCCTCAGTCACTATCTCCTCTTCCTAATTAGGTCATTTCAGAGAGAAAAGAGACGTTAAATAAAAATAAAGTATAGGGATGAAAATGCATAAAATAAATGAAAGGCAAATAAATTAAATCATAAACATCACAAGAAAGTGGTTCTAGAAATGCTTTTAAAATACGAGATTCTGAGGTTTTTGACAGAGAAACAAATACTGATGAAATCTCAAAGACAAATAAAAAAATATGATAAAATTTCAGATATAACCAAAAATAAAATTAATGTAGTTCATGGAAAGCTTTTTTTTCAACAAAACAAAAACTCAAATATAAAAATCATTGCCCTGAGCATAAATGAAATCGAAACATAAAGACAAAGGATTCACAAACATGGACAAGACACAGGCAACACAATTCTGTTAATCTCCACTGTGATCAAAATCACACGTACACAAACTATGTGACTGGACTCACAGTAACCTTGACCTAGTTCTGACTGACCTTGACCTCCTCTGGCTCAACCTGGTCAATTGGAAGGTCGACCTTTGTGTCTAAAGTTTCCTCTACTTCTGTGGCTCCACGGGTCACGTTACTCTGTTGTTTTGATTTAAACATGCCGCTCTTGTCTGTACAAGAACAAAGACAACATTTGATGGTTAAAAATATAATTTAATATGGCAACCATTTCAAAGATGGTTTCTGTGGATAACTGTTTTAAAGGTCTTTTTAAAAACTCTTTATCTAACAATAAACAGAAATTGAATTATTCAAAATGGAAAGCATTTTAAAGATGGCCTCCATGGCTTACATTTTTTCTTTTCCTTTTATTTTTTTTTAGGCTCTGTTCATATCCTTAGATGCTGTCCAACTTATAAAGATAAAACAAACAGAAAGAAAACAGCAATCTGTATTTATTGTTTCAATAGCTTACCTTCATCATAGTCAATTTCCCGTGGCTTATCTGGACTTCGTTTGTGTTTCACTGGTCTGGCGTGGAATACGCTGTCTTCGTCCCGTTTCTGTGCTGGCGGGTGTGGCTGTCTCTGTTGGTTCTGCTGTATAGGAGGCAAAGGTCGTCGTGGAGACATGGATTTGTTCTTTTCTCCACTGCTATTGGACTTTGTTGAATCATTCATTGAGCTACTTCGACTGTGATTTTTGCTGCCATGTTTCTTTTTCCTTCCAACAAAACTTTGTTCCCAACTACAGAAGAGAAAGCCAACTTGAAAACTATATAATCTATACGTGCACACATATTCAGGCAATATTTTGAAATCTGCATTTTCCTTTTACCGTTGGTTTAACAATTTATCACTTTTTTTCAGTAGATATAAATACATACACAATTTGATGTACGTAAGAAGTTACAGCAACTTTTCAAAACTTAGGTTTATCATTCAACAGAGAAATAAAAAAAATTAAAATTTAATTTCAAAGTTTGGGTGACTTACGGTTTAGAAACAATTTTTGTAGATGTGTCCATCCTGGGTTTATCTGCTTTGTAGTCCAATGGATTGTAACCTTCACTTCCTACCGCCACATATTCTTTGTTTTCTTTTAGTAACTTGGGCGTGTAGATGGCTTTTTGAGTCTCTAAATCTACCAACCTGAAGCCATCAGAGAAAAAGAAATGTAATAATTCTGAATGTATATACAAGCATTTCCAGAAAATAAAATAAAACAAAAATTTACATTTCTTTTATACAGTAGTTACCCACACCAGCCTATTAATCACAGAGACAGCAATTTGGATCATCATTTTTATTATTTACAAAAGCATACTGGGGTATTACCCCCACCCACCCACCCACCCCAACAGCGAATAGTTTGTAGACTTGTGAAAATAATGATAAAAATGGATGACCCCTCACTATAACATAAATATAATGTTTAATAGTGGCACTTACTTGCGGACACATCCCGTCCTGATCCAGACATGTTTGCCCACCTCCTCCAACACTCTGTACATGTCCTGCTGCATGATGGGGGTCAAAGTGACCTTCATGGCCTTCTTCAGTACGTCACCATTGGGAAAGACACTGGAAAACATGATGCATGTGCTTGTTAGATAATATAGTCAATATAACATAAACAAAATGACCTTGGTGGCTTTCTTTAGTATGTCACCATTGGGAAAGACACTGGAAAACATGATACATGTGCTTGTTAGATAATATAGTCAATATAACATAAACAAAATGACCTTGGTGGCTTTCTTTAGTATGTCACCATTGGGAAAGACACTGGAAAACATGATACATGTGCTTGTTAGATAATATAGTCAATATAACATAAACAAAATGACCTTGGTGGCCTTCTTTAGAATGTCACCATTGGGAAAGACACTGGAAAATGTGACAAGTGAAATAAGTTAGATAATACAGTCCATAACAAAATTACTGAAATGTAAACCATGGGCACTTGTATAGTAGTGCTCTGGAATAGCTAAAAACCCTTACTAGTGGACTGAAAATAAAACATATTACACAAATGTAAAATGTTTTACAAACAAACAAATAAAAATACAAAAAGCTTCTTCTTTCACAACTTTAATACTACTCTTACAAACTCTCTCGGTCTCAATTGCATCATCTTGTAGTACATGTATTAAAGAATTGATAAATACTAGTACTTCAAAAATCATATTCATTATCCCACTCCAGTTTCAGCTATCACTACAGTACATCATTACAATATTATATATGGTGTTCATACTTACAATATTTTTAATGGCTTAGTATTCACTTTTCTATATCTTCCAGAGTGGGGAATTGTTCTCTTATGGATTTTAATCTGAAAATAATAATAATAATAATAATAATAATAATAATAATAATAATAATAATAATAATAATAATGAAAGACAAGACTTAAAATGATCAAGTTAATAAATAAACTAAGAAAGGCACTGTCACTGTCTTGTAAAAAACAACAACAGATTTTGCATGAAAATATTCATCTGCTCAGCTTTCTAACTGGGATGGCAATTTGACTGACATTTTGTCCGTTTTGCATCATGATCAGTGCCTTCACATGCAGTGGCAATTAATGTATCAAGTCAGGCCTTCAAAAATGGAAGTTATGCTTTATGACCTGGTTAAAAAATTAAACACCACATGAATTATTTGAACAGGTGGATTAGGGGACTTTTTTGCATGTTGTTGAACTGAATCAGGTATCTAAGTGTGTTTTTATTCTTACACATTTTTGTTTTTTCTTTCCGTACCCTGTCCTAGAAACTGAGTGAAGATCAGTAACAAGTAAACGATAATCACCGAGTACTTGTATGACTATAAACACAGTCATTACAGCTACTCAACTTGATGAATAACGTTGAAGTTTTTTTTCTTAAATGAAGTAGGTGTGCTTGTTTTTCTACAAACTTGTAATATCTCCCATTCAAACAGCAGTGTAAAAGTGTTTATTATCATCCAATGGAATTTAACAGAGTTGTTTTCATTCCAAGATTTGAACTTGTTATCAGGGCACGTATATAAATTACATAGTAATGACTCAATCTTTTTTTATGGAGAAAATTGTGAATTTTACAAATAGTAATACTGTATTTTTTAAGGAGTTAATTTCTTAAAATTAAAACATTCCGACTAATTGGTAGCAACTGAAAATCTGGCTACCTTATACTACTAGTAGTTCTATTTTGTAAAGTAAAAACACAACAAATATATAACATAGAAATATATATTTAATGATCCTAAAAATATAAATCTGAAAATTTCATAATTGTTCTCCATTGAAAGGATATAGCCATTACTGAATACGAATTCTACTGTAACTGTAGGCGTTGTGCCTCAAGTCCACAACTGCCTTCATTTGGCATTCTGTCTGAATTCATCAATTATATATCAAACTTTTCATAACTGCAATCCATGGCATCCATATACTAGTGTACAGTGAATAAATTTCTACTGGATCAGGCTAAGTTTGAAAGAGTTTACTAGTATACTTTATTTACAAAATGCATAATTATTACTGTGCATACATTGAATTAAGCCCTGAATGAAAATGCCACTAATATTTTAAACTTATGAAGAATATTTATTATTTCAGAAACCTGAGTTTCATACAGAGTGTATTGGACAGCCATCGTCTCTAACTACTTTAAGCTACACAGACAACCAATCTATCAGAACACCTTGGTAATCAATGCAAATCACTCTCTTGCATGATAGGAAGACATTATCTAATCCACAGTCTGTCTGGTGGGGGGGGGGGCGGGGGGGGGAGGTTTGAGGGGAGGGGGGTTGATGGGGGGAGGGGTGCACACAAAGAGGATGGCACAGTGGTTTGAGGGACAGAGAAATTTGATAATTCTGAGGGAAGAGAGACAGTTATCAGGTGTAATGATGTTATTATTTGCACAAAACAGTAGGAAAAATGGGACTGGAGAGTTTGTGTGTGTGTGTGTTTGTGTGTGTGTGAGAGAGAGAAAAGAAGGGATGGGTTGTGGATAATTCTTAGGCGTAATAAACCTACTCACTAATCCTCATCTAAGACAGTTAATCACATCTAATTCAATTAACTAATAATCTCTGAGCACATGTTAGGTTTGTCTAAACCATCCTCTGACTGCTGAGGTTACCTCACACACACAGCAGCCATCAAAGCAATGCCATCATATTCTCATTCCGCGACATTCACATTGATAAGGTACAAGTGGCGATAATAGCCTTGATGTGGTGGCTAGTCCTTACCGACACCTGATAGCTACTCCCAGGGCGAGACTCACAAACCAATTAATTTTCTATTAGAATCCATCCACTTGAAGCTGATATGGTGAAAGTACTTGGCAAAGTTGTAACAATAATTAGCTGGGAATGCTAACTTCTTCAGATAAAAAAAGTCCCCCCAAGTGAGTTCTGAAGAAACCAATTTTGTTTCAAATATGTCTACAAGGAGGTTCATACAGAAGAAAACAGAGAGTTCATGTCCTCATTTTTAATCTTCTGCCTCTTCCGTAAATCCCTCAGTTACAAAGGCTGATAATTTTCTAAGTAGCTTTCATTATCACACTAAGCTTATTCTGGGGTCTAATTAGTGACATGTTGCTAAACTACAAATTACAGACACGAATTTAAAGGGATAATAACTCTTCGTATGAGATCTATATTTCACAATAAAAACCTTGTGAATAACTCATAGAAATATAATTTATTCTGTTTTACCACAAAAACAGCAGTTATAGCTTTAATTCTGATATCTGAACTTGTCTTTAGACCACGTGACCTCCATTGATGGCTATACTCTGTTAAAATCTCTTAAGAGATTTTAACAAAAAACCAAACTTTTTAGAAAAAAACCAGGGACTAACTTTGAATGTAAAAATGGAATTTTTAACCATTGGTAAGTATGGGAAAATTATTGTTTACTCCAGGAAAATTCATTTTTTGGCCGAAACAAAAAAGAGTTATTATTGCTTTAAAAAACAAAAAAAAAAAAAAAAAAAAAAAAAAAAGAAAGAAAAATAAAAAACTCATTTAGGATCATCATATCTTCTTTTTTTTCTCTTCAAATACATACATTCATAGGAATTGGTTAATTTTTCACAATAATTCAATTTTCATTCAATGAATGTCAATTTTTTACAGTGTTTTGAATTTCATAACACTGAAGAATGTTAATTTTTCTATAAGACTTGGATCGGCAGATAATTAACACCTACAGTCACTGTGAAGATACTAGTAATTATTCAGACAGTTCTTAATTTGCAGTTATTATCTTTATATTTACACCAATGACTTGTATAAATTTGAATGTACAAATAAATAATAATAATAATAATAATAATAATAATAATAAATATATTTGTTTTTATTATAACAAATTAGAAAGTACGAAAGACAGAAAACATCACACCAGATTTTTACACCTATATTAAAAGAAAGCCGTGATGTGTGCGCCATACGTGCAGAAGCCTCACATCATCTCACCCCTGGCGTGACTGATCCTGGTGTTACCTAGCGACCAAACCCTTCGTCTGTCAAACAACAAGCTGGAGGATTATTTCTGGCAAACTAAATCTATTTTGGGACACAGTAAAACAAAGAGGGGACAGGCATGGCATTCATTTACTATAATCAGTAAGCTTTTCTTGAACTCCCTGGCACAACGCCAAGTTTTGAAGTGGTGCTGTTCACTAACAAAACCCAATACACTGGTACTGGCACATAAAACACATACTAGTAGACTTGGTTTTCCTCATTGCAGACCAATTGACACATTTCTCTTTTGAAAGATTCTACAATAATCCTTTCCTCTTCAGAAAATAATAATAATAATAATAATAAGTAATAATTTATTCTTTTGAGTTAAGAGTAATTTAATAGTTAAATAGTGATAAAAAACAAAGGTATTTCTTTGATGTCATTTTGTAGCCTATAAAATTTTTTCTTAAAATTCTTCGTATTTTGACCATAAAAACATATCCTCCACACACATACAAAAATAAATAAATAATTTTGAAAATTTGTCTTGCCCTGGCACAATGCACTGTCTGATTAAGAGGATAAAAACCTTCTACTTTCCCCCTGCCACTAAACATCAACATGACATCAAAAACGGCTACAGAAACATTGCCCTTCAAAGAAAGCTCTCCCCGTAGGTCAAAGCGTTTACTGTTTGCTCTCTATGTGGCAGACACCACAAAGCCTTTCAATGGCTGCCATTATTCAGTCTCAGTCAGCCGAACTGATCTGAAAAGAGGCTCCGTTAACGGAGCTATTTATTCCCCAGCATGCCCTTGCTAGTGTTGAAGCGGTGACCATAACAAATATTTCGTAATGCCACATATTTCTTTTGTGACCTTTTTATTCTTACAATTTGCATATTGATAACTTTGTAAGGGGGGTGAGGATCAGCAAAACATGATGGTTACAAATCATAACTACTTTAAGTGCGTATGCTCTAGGCTCACGCTAGCAAGGACGTTTCTTTTGCATCGCCCTTTGACTACTAACCTGTCCTAATGGAAGGGAAATAAAACTTTGGCTGAAAAATTACCTTACTTGATCAATTTTTGTCACATAATCATATAATTTCTGTGATTTTGATGAAAAAAAAGCAGAATATGTGACAATGCAATTTCCTGCTCAAATATAACAAAAAAATTTCAGTGGGGAATATTAACTACTAGTATTCACTTAACTCTAAATATTAAGCAATTAGCAGGAAGAAATATGTTTTTATTCAGAGATATCCATCACCAACAATAATTTTCAAATCAACTTTTGTAGTCAGATATATTAATGATATTGATAAGCCAGCTCTCAAAACTCTGGCAGGGATTTCCGTATCAAATGTGCCATCTATTTATTCATGCTACTAAACCACTTCATCCACCTCTACACTTCACATCAAATCTATTTGATCTGTAACATTGCTCAGGGCCCTGCACATCTCAGGTTGAGAAGAATACAAAAGAATCGGAAGATTTTAAACTCATAGAGTGTCAGCAAATACACCTTTAGCTGGGGAGCAAATTATACATTGGAAATAAAGCACTTGAGCAAACGCGAGCCTAGAAAGAGCTCTGAGTGTATTTTCTGATACATTTTATTTCAGCAGAAGGCTCTTTGCTATTTGAAAGTCTTACTGTGTATGCTGATTTGAAGGATTTAAAACAGTTTGAGTGTTAGCGCATGCCTTATATTATTAAGTATTAACATCTTAACCTTGAGAATGACTAAGCTGGAAATAAGAACATAAGAATTACAAATGACTGAGAGATGGCCGTCTCCTTTACACTTAGCAGTCGATTCTATGTATTTCGAAACCTTTTAGTTGCTAATCTAAGACTTTCAGTCCATTTCATTACCAAGTCAAGGAAGCCATAACAATAACTAACATCCCAGGGGCACTACAGAACCCCCCCCCAAAAAAAAAAAAAAAAAAAATAATAATAATAATAATAAAAAATAAAAAATAAATAAATAAATAAAAATGAAATAAAATAATAATAAAATAAAAAATATATAAAAAATTGATAATGATAATCTTCAAAAACTTTCACAGCTGGAGCAACAAGTTTCAAAACTGACTGGATAACTTTTTTTTTTTAACTTTTAGTTATTTATTTATTTTTCATTGGTATAATGTAATTCTACCTTGATTTTAATGATCAATCAATACTCTTTTCTACCAATATATAATCATATCTGACTGCGTCATAAGGGCTATGTATTTATCCAACTCTCCAAGGATTGCCACAATATGTAGTACTATTAATCATTATAATAAAACTTCACACAAATCACCATTTCAAAATATTGAATTATTAAGGACTAAATTACTGGCAGAAGTCAGATGAGGTGTGAAGAAAGCCAGCAGTAGGCTTCTAACATAACTCATCTAAATGCGGAAAAACCAACGTGTGACAGAGAAAATTGGAGTTCACGTATTTTTCTGTCCTAGAAATTATTACGGTACCAATTGCTCTCCAGAACACTACAACAATTTTGTATCCGGGAACCTGTCATCTGCTATTGTCACCTGGATGGCTTGTATCATGTTAACAAGACCCGAGTGGACATTTGACATTTATGCCACGGTGTTTTCATCATGAACTTATTGATAAATTATTTTTCTCTTGTCATGTTCCTAGGCCAAAAGTTCAGTTGGACTAATTTGCTATCGCATGTGTCCTAAATTCACTGCCTTCAGATTTGCATGGCTAGAGACAATGCAATCTTCTTACTAAGCGATACTCCAAACACGGCGCTGGCAGAGCTGGGATTCTCCTGTCAAGCCAAAAAATTACCAAATGTTTCCAACGCACATGCCCTGCTTGGATACAGATAGCCTAATATATGAGGCAATAAAAAAATCTAACTCTATTATAACTCTAAATCCAAGGATTAGTGGTTTCAGAATCCATTCAATTTGTTGACAGATTAGTGCTGATTTGAAAATGATTAACGACAGGTTGCTGATAAAATAACTGCCCTATTATTGCTGTAATTTAAACCAAGTCTTGATAAATTTCAACTTACGTCAAAAAATAAATCTTCAAAAACTTGTAATATTTTATTCTTCTGTAAAACATGATTTTTAATGAAAAGAATTAACACAAATTTAAGTTACCATGCAAGGGGCAGTTAATACACTTCACTAAGTTAATTTCAGTGCAATTAATAAGGTTCTTACAGTAGACAATACAAGACATCGTGTTAAATCCACAAAAGTATTTATGACATAACCTAGTCTACCAAAATAGATACTTAACTGAATGATTTAGCATTCTGCAATTTGAGTTCCACTCCTTTACGTCACAAGCCAATAATACCTACATTAAAAATAATCACTTCACTGTCTCTCACAGATCTAATAAAGTGCCGAAAGACTCATGTTCTCCTCTCACATGCATATATATCTTTTTGACTGAAAATCTCCATCGATTATCACTTTCCTCCTACTCAATAACCAAGACCCATTACATCTCTGTTAGAAATGTCATTTCACTTAATGACAGTAACTTTCTCGTTTCCACTGTCTCATAAATTCATTATTTCTAGGGACATGACTCTTACAGTGACAATTTAGGTCCTAACCATCCTCCTTCATCTACTACAGATATATTAATAAACCAGTAAAAAATGTGTATTATTCTTAGCAAAATTTCACACCTCAAATCCGATTATTACCAAGCACTTGATGTCTTTGATTATTGTGGTTAACTTTGTCTGCAATATAAGTTGTCAGGCTTTACTGTTACTGTCAACACAAATGTGTAACAGTAATAAATGTAGAACTCACATAATAAGAGATATTACATGACAATTCACAGAAATTGATGTTCTTTACTTGTACTGTCAATTGATACAAATGTAGAACTCACATAATAAGAGATGTTACATGACAATTCACAGAGTTTGACGTTCTTTACTTGTACTGTCAATAAAAATGTAGAACTCACATAACAAGAGATATTACATGACAATTCACATATGTTCATTTCCTTTTTCACATCCGGCTTACACAAAGAGCCGCCAATTCTGCATTTCTAGGGTTCGCAAGCTTATTACACCGAATTACAACTCAGAAGACAGTTAATTTAACATGAATACCTAGAAATAATCAGGACTATTGGGGGATGAAATCAATTCACTAGATGAAGACAAGATATTGATGTTGTTGATATATTTATAGCTGTGAAGCAAAATGTTTTAGTAAAAGTTAAGTATCTGATTGAACTGTGCAGATTTGCTTTGAAATCCAGCGCTGAGGATCGAAGAAGGCTTATCCCATGTGAATGAATACACAAAGTATTAGCTGATGCTCTTTAGCCTTATTTATCACTTCTTACCAATGCAGTGCATTTTTTAATAAATGAATAAATAAATATATCAAAATAAAATAAGTCAATTAAAAATAGAATAAGAAAATAAACAGGCAAAAGTAGACATACGTAAAACAAACAAACAAATAAATAAATTAATTAATTAAAAAATCTCATTTTTTAACACTGGCAAAATAAATATATCAGAATGCAATTAATTATTTAATTTTTTTGGTGGGGGGACTATATATGTATATATAAATACACAAACACTGAAAACTGACATTGTACATGTACTAAAACGAATGCTTCGCGCTCATGGTGAGATTTCCATTTATTGAACACTTATTGATTTCGGGTTGAATAATAAAAACCTGGATATTTTGATAATGCATATAATATGGTGTTTGTTCCTCGTATCCCTTCCATATACTCCATGTGCACCTATGGCAACTAAGCGCTCCCAGTGGACGAGTTATGTCACACACTGACATCAAAGTTTGTCTCTATATGTATCAGGGCATTGCCGCAACATATATATTGAACACTTAAGAATACCGTTTCCCACATATATTTATAAAATATGACTAAAAACTTAAAGGCAATTTAATTTAAGTTATTATACTGAAAAAATACTATTTTGTTAAAAGACAGCTATAAAATCTTAAATGCTAACCAACTGATGAATTGAAAGGTCTTCACTTAGGAACGAATTCTTACAGTTCTGTAAACATATTTTCCACTGTGACTTTCTGTGTAAATTTGTCAAATCCAAAAGTATCATTCCACAATAATTATTTTCCCTCTGCTAAACTGTCATACATAAGATTAATCTACCTGTGTTCAACGTACACTGCTTATTTCTACTTAAACTGTCTATCAATGTTCTAGCACGCTTTGATACTTCAGACACTTAGCAGCTTCTCACACGAGCGTGTGAACTTCAAGTCCGCATTTCCATGTTTCAATGATTGTGGACAAAAGGGAATATCTCAGGTTTCAGAACACTCAATAACTCTCCTTTTTATCAATCAACTCTAATTGCTATCATATTTCTTCTTTACATCACCGTTTTATGATCATTTCAACAACAATCAAACCTAAATATCTTTATTTCCTTTGTATACCAAATGAACTTAGCTCATGTTCCCTTTTTTAAACTTCAGTTGTGTTTTTTTCTTATTTAATTCAATATTTATATTCTTTTTTTTTTTTTTTTTTTTTTTGGGGGGGGGACAAGTGCCTTAATTGGGATGCTTGATAAACAATTACTTTTTACCAAATTAAAGCAGTCTACTGTAGGTTGTAGAAAACAAACACTGTACTAGTATACGAAGATGAAGTCTTTTAAACTTTAAATGGAAAGTAAAAGAAAGAAAATATTTCCGGTGTACTTACGTTAAAGTCTGCAGGTGATGCTCCTTTGGACTGTGATCTATTTTCTAATCTGAAATGACACATGTCAAACATCAAAATCTCATCCATGAATATTTTTAACCAAAATCTGACCAACATCAAAAAGTTGATAAAATTAAACTTTATAAAGAGGTTTTTAGTGTTTAATGTCCAAATATTATAGTATTTGTTTTCAGATGAGTATAAGGATAATTTTCTTTAAAAAAGTTAATTACTTTTATAAAATATAACTCTTTATCATGAACGGCTATTTGAGAGGATTATTTTATTAACTCTGAATTGGAATGTTTGAATTTCAATCTGACTTAAATCATGCGTTTAAAATTGTAGATAAATTGAACCAATTAATTCTGGAAGACCAAATTAAACGAACTGACCAAACTAAATCCGAAGTCAATACAAATTGATCGACCATTTACTTACTTTTCGGGATGTGGTGCTCGAAAAGCTCCGTTTGTGATCGCTACATATTTCCCCCTATTTTCAATGTCTTCCAAACGACCTATAATCCGTCGTCCACTAAGGGTTCGCATTCCTCGAACACAAGTTTTGTTTTTAGTGGCGACGGTCACCCTGTCCAAAAATGTCTCAAAAGTTCTGATTTTGGTTTCGTCGACTGACACGGGAGCTCCGGGGAAGTAATCATCATTATTTCGGTAGACTGTGATCCACTTTGCAGGATTTGGGACGCGACGAGGTCCAAATGTTGACATGTTGCAGATATCAAGTGTTAAAATCCTAGGAACGCTGCTTTAATGATCGTTATTTACCACATTTTGAGGAAGTCGAGGAATATCCATGCCAGTCTTCTGCGCTCGTACGAAGTTCTGTGGTCGTGACGTCACCAACAATCGATTTCATTGCCGCAAGCCGACCCCGTTGTTTACCATAGCAACCTCGGTAAATATTGACTTTTGTGGAAAAAACACCTATTTAATTGTTGCGATTTGGTGGTAAATCATCACAAGTGCATGACTTACGCTGTGTGAAGTAAGATTATCTTCCTAAACCTTAGATAAAAGGCGTTAGAGCAGGATAAAAGCTACAGACTTAAAATTCTAGTGCTGTCCTCTATCGGCATAAAGGGTAACGACGGACACTCGTTTTACTTGAATAACGCATGGAAGATGGTGAATGAAATTTTGTCAATCAAAAACTTTTTGGCAGTAAAATTATTAAAGAATTGGTTATACGTTGAACAATCGATTAATTCTGTTTGCAATTCAAAAGAAAAAACTTCTATTTAATTATTTTTTTATTTCCAAGTGCAGGTGGCACACAAACACACAATAATTGACAAGACCAGCAGATATATGGCATGACAGGAAAAACATGGATGTAATTAATTAAATATAACACTATCACTGAATAAATACCTTCTATAACTTGTGAATACATTAAACCAAACATAGATATACCAATATATTACTCTGTCAGCTGTATGCATCACCCATAGGCCCTATAACAACTTGGGTCATTCATGGTATGTGGATGTCAGAAGAGCTTTTTTTTGGGGGGGGGTGGGGGGGGGGGTGGTGCTTGTTAGCACATAAATTATCATGCATCCTCTACTCTTTAAGACAGAAAACAAAGTGCTTCAATATGCAGATAAATAGACATAAGGCTTTCAAACCAAACTATTGGCATAACAGAATGTTTTGCATTTGCTGCATCTGAAATATCTTGTTGAGGAAAGCTTTCAGAAACCACACCGTAATGAAGCAAGTGATGAGACTTCTTTACAAAGACGTGTACCATACAATCTTCAGAGACCATACCTCATTTACTACTTTTCAGCTGTTCATTACATCATCCAATGCTTATTATTAAGAACATTATGAAGAAAGTAATATCATTATCACCTGCCGCTGGCATCTTACAAGGTAAGTAATAAATAAATAAGCACCCATTCAAGTGATACAAGCTCAATTTGCATGCAACACCTTCATCACATTCTTGACGATATTACAACTCCTTCCGAAAATGCAATAAGAAAAATGTCCCTAATGTTGACATTGTAAGCTATATTGTGGTATAAATCACAAATTGAAGCTTGCAAAATACAGCTGTTCTTCTTTGCAATTATGTCCACATTTCGTGTTGTGACCTTGTTATCTTGACAAAAATGACGACATGCATTATCTTCAGTTAGTAGTGTCAAATTCAGCCAACTCTGGTTTATTTCAGTCAAGTTTATTTATCATTCATTTCAGATGGGCTAAGGTGTATATGAAAACTATGAAAGACTTCAAAAACAAACCAATTCATTCTAAATGACAAAAAACTTCAGTCAACAGACAAGAAATGGTACTGCCACAACAACACACAGAAAAAAACTGTCTATTAAAAATAGCTGGCAACTTTAAATATCAAGAAAACTTGTAGCCTTAATAAAAAAGTAAAGTGAATTCAAACAAAACATATCCCAAAATTAATTTTTCTGCCTGATTATCTTTTACAAATTCAAGAGCTGATAACGATGATAACTTCAAGAACAATTTACCTTATAAAAAAGATTTTGTTAACATGGACAGAAAAGGCAAATTTCACCAATAAAATATAATACTGATTCAAGTTTGTTTTTGTGGTGGAAAAATAAATAAAATAAATAAATTTTAGGAGGGAACAGGACATATAAAGATATCAAACCAGATTAAGTGCCTCCTAACAATCATTTTGCTGCATAGCGTGATCGTGAAAGTCGAGCAGAGCATCATTCAAGTTCTTCTACCTACTGGTGCTGCCCCCTATCAGCTCAATCAGGAATCAGGCTATCACAGCTGAAAAGAACAGCCATGTTTTTTTTTACCAAATATTCCACCAAAGGTTTTCAGCCACAAAATACATATACTGTCTACTGTGTGTGTCTTCATTTCCAGGCAACAGCGACAGAGGATTTTACACAGAGATGAAGAAGTCCATGGTTTTATTGAAAAAATGCCAAGTTCTTTTCTTTTGTGCCAGATCTTAAGCTGTACTCTGAGAGGAGCATCTAATACCTGCAACAAGTCTCCCTCTGTTGGAGGAAATGACACCAATTTTGAGCCTGAAGTGATTGTTAAGAGCAGAAATTTAGGAGATTTTGCCGAAATTCTACAAAGTGCCAGTTGTAATAAGATATGAGTGCCATTTCAGTAGACTAATTCCCATTCTATGAGATAGTGGGCGTCTCCAAAGGTCTAAAAGAAGACACCCATTTGTCGTGGTTTGTGAGGTCTAAGAGCTACATGGACGATGAAAAGTTCTAAGCTGTGTCGGATGTTATAAATGTTTCTCCAGCTCCTCCTTGATGGAATCCATGAAAGCCTCGGTGTTCTGGTACTGGTTTGGCTTCACGCTGGAAGACGAGAAAATCACACATCAAACACAATGAATAGTGAAGAGTCGACTATATTTCACACAATAATAGTGGGCCAGTTCACAATTCAAGTTGAGGAATATTTGTGTTAATTGTGGAATAAAGTTAAGGAATATTCTGGGCGAGGCCTTTAATAAAACACAGGCTTCTATACAAGCAGGTACTAGATTTTTTTTCCTTAAAGCATTCCCAAACCTGAAATGCACCAATCTGGCAAAATGTTCTGCACTTCTATTTAGATTTAAACGTAGGGTGGTATTTATTATCAAAGCAAGGATAACTATTATATGAAATACAGAATCTTTTAATGCTTTTCTCCAACATTTGATAAAGGTTCTAGTTTTCCCACAGCTGAGAGAGAGAGAGAGAGAGAGAGAGAGAGAGAGAGAGCACAGTTTCTTACTTCTTCAGCCCATAAATACAGCCTGCCAAGTCCTTGGTCATCTTTCCTGACTCTATTGTGCTGATACAGGCCTTCTCCAGAGCTTGACAGAACCTGTAATTACATAGGATGGTTTTAAAATATTTTATATTTCTAAAAAAATTGGTCATCTTTCCTGACTCTATTGTGCTGATACAGGCCTTCTCCAGAGCTTGACAGAACCTACAATTACAGAGGTGAGAGGATGGTTTTAAAATGTTATTTTATTAAAAATACCTGAATTGTTTGGTATAGCATTAAGGCTCTGCCAAACCTTGCATAAAGAGGTATATATAAACATGATAAAAACTTGAAACCTTGAAAATTTTGCTGGAAGACGGTTATCAAAAAATGTTACTTTTCTTTTCTAAGAAAATTCCATCAAACTTGAAAATGAGCTTCTGTATAACTTTGAAAAGTTTGTAATCTATTAAGCTAATATGGCCATGTTGGTTTCATGCATTTTAAAATATTAATTTTTAAGTGATGAAAATTTCAAAATTTCACCATATTGTATGTGACACTGATCATATGCAAAACTGTGAGCATATGAAATCACCCTATCAAACGTCTTAAAATGAAGATATAAACAGCATATGAAATTGTTTTTATAAACAAACACAAGGGATTTATGTCCCTCTGGCTATGTGTTTGCCTACTTAGTCAAGATGTTTATGACACAAGCAAACAAATCCGATGTTTTTGTGTTTGGGAATTTTTTCTCATCAGTTAGTAAGAGCTATACGCTTCATGCGACAGGGCCTTTAGGAGAAAACCACCATCCTCCTAATTCATAAATCTTAAAGCATGTCAAAATGACTTCAACTTTCATTGTTGATGTAAGGTCAGTTTATATTCTTAAGTGTCCAGGAAATTATAAAGTGTGGAAAAAAAAAATTAAGAAAGACTTACTTTTCCAGAGCGGGGTTGTTGTCCAGCTTAGCGCGGTGTTCCAAACCTCGCGTCCATGCAAAGATACTGGCAACAGGGTTGGTGCTGGTCGCATTGCCCTGCAAGGTCAAAGATCACACTGACCAGAACTGTTCTTCAAAAATATTAAATGACAAACAAAACAAGAGAAGGGAATGAAGTTAAAAGAAGTCAGTGAGTATCCTGATACCACTGCAACGTATTCCAGTTTTTCATTTCAAGAATGATGCACTTTTTACTGGAAGATACCATGAAGTACCTCATTTTTCACAATTATACAACTGTTACAGTTAGTGTCAGATATCACAATGTTGCATGCATGTAGTCAATATGCATGTAGTCAATATGCACGTAGTCAATATGCATGTAGTCAATTCCCTATCTGTAGATGTATGGTCATGTCTTTGTATTCTATCTTTGCCAAATACATTGATATGAACAGACAAAAATATACAAACAGCCACATTAGATCACATAAAATGTTTCGAATAAAAGTTCAAAATTTTTTAATCTGCTTCTAAACAATTCTTGCATCTATATTTCCACACAGGATCTCCATCTACCCAGCCAGGGTCAGGAGTGTGTTTACCTTCTGGTGCTCTCTGTAGTGCCTGGTGACAGTACCGTGAGCAGCCTCTGCCTCGATGGTCTTGCCGTCTGGGCACATGAGGACACTGGTCATCAGACCAAGAGAGCCATAACCTGGAACACAGACAATATGGCTCATTACCAACTCTGTTAGCTCTAACACTCGCCAATTTAGCCAAATACTAAAACTGAGTTAAGTTGGCTAAACAAAAAAGGGTTGATTTGACTCTTTTCAGTCAAATATGTTCATTTCAAGAAAAAAAGTGATGAAAAAGTAATGATTTGACTAAAAGAAAAAAATTGCCAGCGCTACCCCAACAACTCCTGACATGGAATGAATGGTCAAATAGTAGGTGTTGTAAGACATTTCTTACATCTAATCCCAGAATAGCTCATTACCAACCCCTCCCTTGTAATGATCAAATAGTTTTCATTTTCTAATGGAGAGGATCAAAAATCACTGGAAACAAAACCCCAAGCTTTTCCTAGATCATAACCAGTTTGTAAACAAAACTTCCATAGACAATATAGCTTGTTTCTGACTATTGGCATGGAATGAATTGTCAAATAGTTATTTTCTCAGAAAGGCCTACAAACAGTTTTCCCATTATTGAAACCAGAGTTTGCAAACAAAATTTACACATAACACTTCCAATTGCCTGGAATTCTATTTCTCCCTTTAAGTTAATTAAATAGTCTTATACTTTTGTCTAGTTTTAGAGGACAAGGGAATACTAAGAGCTTTACATGTATGTGAAAGCAGACCGAGGGAAAAAGTACTCCCCCATTTTCTTTTTATTTCCACCCCGCAGAAATCTTCAGAAATGCCTCCTTGATCACCGTACTGTTCAACAATGGGTGGACGTAATCTGAACCCTGTACCTACCCTGTGCTACAATATCTGACTGAACGTCGCCGTCGTAGTTCTTGCATGCCCACACAAAGCCTCCAGATGATTTCAAAGCTTGAGCGACCATGTCATCAATGAGGCGATGTTCATACCAAATTCCTGCCTTCTCGATCTCCCCCTTGTAGTGTCTGCAGGATATTTAGAGAATTATTTTAATGGTTTTTCTTTTTATAAAGTCTTCCTCTTAAAGGGATAATAACTCTTCGTATGATATCTTTATTTCACAATAAAAACATTGTGAACAACTCATAGAAATATAATATATTCTGTTTTACCACAAAAACAGCAGTTATAGCTATTATTCTGATATCTGAGCTTGTCTTCAGATCACGTGACTTCCACTGATGGCTATACTCTATTAAAATCTCTTAAGAGATTTTAACAAAAAAAACAAACTTTTTAGAAAAAACCAGGGACTAACTTTAAATGTAAAAATAGATTCATTAACCATTGGTAAGAATGGGAAAATTGTTGTTTACTCCAGCAAAATTCATTTTTTGGCCAAAATGAAGAGTTATTATCCCTTTAAATAACAAAAAGGAGGATTTGATTTATGTAAGTGAAAGTCAAGAGTTATGCAAATATCAAGTAATATAGAATTGAACTGTGCATTAAGGAATAATATTTCCTCATTCTCACATTATATTTTTTCTACTTTTAAATTATACAAAATGACTTTTTAATCCGCACTCACAAAGTGTGTAACTCAAACAATCAGATCATTCTAACTGCACCCACTTCTGATAAATATCCTCGAAGATGTCCTTGAAGCGTCCATCGTATCTTTTCAGAATTGTATTTTTTGTGCTCATATACAGCGGCCATTTCTTCTGAATCGCGTACTGGAAGCAAGCGTGTGCAAACCCTGTGATGGACTGAAAAGAGAAACGTGTTGTTTATTTTTACTTTCTGATCACCCAGAGGTCACTTCCAGTGAACTGGAAGCTTGGAATAAATATGCTAACTTGTGTCAGACTGAGAGACAGCAAGAGGACTTTGCCTGCGTTACAAAAAAAGATGGGCCAATTTTTGCTAGGGTATTATTATATACCACTTCCTTCATTTTTGACAATCATCAACAGTGGTAAACTTTATTGGTATAGAGATACATTGGGGGAAGAGGGGGGAAAGAAATCACTTTTCCTTAAGATAATGTCCAATGGTCATCTGTGATTTTAATGAGGATCAAGTTATTCTGCAGATATTGCAGTGGTTTAGAAAATTGTTTATGCAAAAGAAACAAAGCCTATATCAAGGTCCACGTTACCTCGTCAGTGTTGTACATGGCCATGCCCACGCCTCCACCGTTCTTGAAGTTAAACACCTCCATGTTGACTGGTGCACCATTCTCAGGGGTGAAGGTCATCGTCAGCTTGCCGTTGCCCTCGGCAACAAAGTCTGTGGCCTTGTACTGTAACAAAAACATGCTTGCTGCAGTTAGAATTTATTGGAGAAAGCAGAAACTGGTGTTAAAACTCCCCATCACTTTCTACACTGATTTTGAGATAGAGAGGATAGTGTGTGATGTCATGAGCAGAAAAAAAAGGGTCCCAGTTCTGAGTAATTACAAGCAACCATTTGGGAAATGAAGTGAATTACACCATTATTTTATGACACAGACAACAAAAGCTGATTCAGTTATCTCACAAAGTTTACTTTAGACCCTATACTTAGCTACGTGCTCAGATTTTGAAGCACTTATTTCCTTTATTGCTCTGTACATTAACTGCTCATCTCATCTGCTTTAGTCTGACCAATTTACATCACCAGTGATACAACTCCAATCCTATCACAGCACAACAGGACAGCACATCTTAAATAATCACTCATCTTTTTTTTCTTTTTTTTTTTTTAAACCAAAGGAAAGTTTTTTTCAAAATGAGCTGTCACTGTGCTTTCTTTAACGTTAACACTAAATCCACTTTCAAGACCAGAACGTCTCTCATAACATACAAAAATTTCAGACAGATATTTTACTGTTCCCCACCTGATCGCCGTGAGCGTGACGGCCAATCACAATGGGTTGAGTCCAGCCAGGAACCAGGCGGGGAATATTTTTACACAGGATTGGTTCCCTGAAAACGGTTCCACCCAGGATGTTCCTGATGGTTCCGTTGGGACTCAGCCACATCTTCTTCAGCTTGAACTCTGAAAGAATCACAAATTGACAGTTTACTTATGTTATTTATAGTTTTTATTTAAAGATTTGAAAATTACCAAGCTCTGCAGTCACTATAGTGAAGCAACATAGCAAGGTTGTTGGTATTACTCATTAACAAAAGTTGAATAAAAAAATAATAAAAACAAAATTAAAATAAATACAGAAAATAGATAAATAATAAAAAATACAAATAAATACAATTAAACACCTAGTCTCTTATACGTAAGGTGTATAAAGGCAGTTTATTTATTCTCTGGATATTAGCTGGTGTCTTCCTATGAAATACCTCAGTATGACAATATGAAATTTAAGCCTAAACATTTCCAAGTTCTACAGCCCCTCTGAGAACCAAAAGAGACAAGCCTTAACAATGTATCTCTCACGGTCCCAATACTTTTCACTCTATTATATTATAGAGCTGATACCCCTTCACTTAACCTTAGTATTTGCAGAGTGGTATCATGGCCTAATATGTAAACACTTACTGATAAGTTCTGTAAATAACAGACAAGAACCGCATGAGCGGCCTATGTGACATATAGTATTTTGGCAATGTCTTAATTTCAGTTATGACTCAGTCTTTTGAATGGGGAAAGAATTATTAATCGTTTAGATACATAATTTTGGAATCATTTAAATATTTTTATTTTGTGTAGCATTGCGGTTCTTGTACTGTATGGTATAGAAGTACAAGGTAGCCTGCTTTACAGTCTTGTTGTTACCCTTCAATAAGGATGATATAAATATAAAAAATGGTGACTTAAAAAAGTAAAGTATCTGAAAAATTTGCAATTCCCCCCCCCCCCCCCACTGGAAAGATTGAGTAATTACTGTATACTTGATAATCCTCAGTATCTAAAAATGCCAACTTCTGCAGACTGTCTGAGTGTCTGTTCAACTTGACAGTTTGTTGGCAAAGTTGCATGATGTATACAACATGAATTATGTTAATTTGTGAGGAGTTGTCAAAGAAAAAAACTGTAATCTCTACATGTATAGTTCTTTTTGATAATTACATAAAAAGACCTAGACTTTGACTCATTCACGGTTTGTCAATCATATCTAATGGGCACTTATTTCCAAGCAAGTTGGACCAACATTGAAATTTTACCCCAGAGACGAGCACTTGTGGATAATATTTGACTTTTGGCCAGATTTTCTAATTTTACCAAAACTCCATACTTTTCATATGTGAATGCCATTAGCAAAGAGCAGAGTTCAAGTTTATTTCTAATAATGCAACTAGAGTACCCAATATTCAGAAGATTTCCAAATTTTCTGTTTGTAATTTTCTGATGGAAATGAACCCATATCATCTTGAAATACTTGAAAAATTTGTAACAAGAGCTTTAAATCCACAACCTTTTTACGGTTAATTTAGGTGCTTATATAATATAATTGGACACAGACACAGGCAAAGGTTTACTCAAATGCTAATCACACGAATTCACTTTAATAATGTGACAATTTATCTTGAACTCAACAGATACTCAACATATGCAACCATCTAGCACTTTGTTGACAATAGATTTTAACAACAATGACACCCCATTTCCATAGATTTTTAGATTGATCTATCCCTGTGAGGAATCTCACTAGATTACTGTCAGCTTAGCCGGCTTAAGCGTCTGTCCTGCCTACTAAAAGCTGTAAGGGGGTTATAACTATGGTGCCCGCTCGGCTGACTGCAATTTAGCGTGAACCCCCAGGGAGTTAGGTCGATCTAAAACTTAATCTTTAGATCGATCTAAATCTCTGGGAAAGCACCCTGAGTGTTATCTCTATGTAACTCTCCACTCTCTCCTCATTTCAACAATGACTCTAAAAAGTGTCACATGCTTTATTATCTTCAATCAACAAATTCTGTATCGATTCAACATTCAATTTGACTGCAATATTCTAGCAGTCTGACTGGTCTCTCTGTGACTCACCCTCTACTCTCTCCTCATCAGGGGTGATGGTGGCACACTTGATACCCACGCTGTGTTCCTTAATGGCGTGTGCGGCGTCAATGGTCACCTGGTCGTTAGTGGCGTCACGGTGCTCCAGACCAAGATCGTAGTACAGACACTTGACGTCCAGGTACGGAAAGATGAGCTGAGAGGGGGATTAAGAACTGATTAAACTACGTGTATAAAATCAAAGGAAAATTTGTCTAGATAGTGTTTTTGTTATGTTTAATAGTCAAAACATAATATTTCCAGATTGGAATATAATTTGTAATTGCCATTACAATTATTCATTGAAATTATTAAATTTGATAAAATTTTCCAAAGGGAGGGGGGGGGGGCACAATTATTCCATTAAGCACTATTATTAAATATCGGGAATTTTTCCAGGGGGCACTACTATTTGGCACTTCCGAGCCTTAAGCCTTTTATAAATATCCCCCAAAATAATATCAAAATTACAACAATTCATATCAAGAAAATGTTCTGAAGGAGAAGAAAGTTGCAAAGAAATTGAGGTGATGTATAGTTGTAAATGTGCATGCAAGGTGCATGGGTATATTTGATCCTGTTACATATGTGTGCAAATGTATATGTGTGAACCTATGTACATGTGCATGTACACAGGATCAGTGAAATAAAAGGGGAGTCAGAAGTCTGTGAAGTAAAAATGAATAGTCAATCAAGGACGGATTGAGGCCGTCTTTTGGGTCTTCCAGAAGATGGTCCAAATTTTCAAGTTTACATTATGGGTATCTAATTTTTTCGATCAGAGACGGTAAAAAATGGAAGATGGAATGACAAAGATAATGTGGAAGACTGTCAGAAAATATCTCTGGATAAGCCCCTGTCAGAAAAGTAAAAGTGAGCGGTCAGCAAAGTGAGTGGTCAGTGAAGTGAAAGTAAGTGGTCAGTTGTCCACCTTATCCTTTATCATCTGCCAGATGATCCTGGTCATCTCGTCACCGTCCAGTTCCACCACAGGGTTCTTGACCACTATCTTCTGGCCATTGGAGTCTGGAATAGGGAGAATGAATATCAAGGCTCTCAGGAAGATCAAACATTTAAACACTACTCAGTCACTTTGCTAATAGAGAGTATTCTTTTTCTGAATGAATTGTTGCGCAATCACTTTGTTAAACTTCAAAATTTAAAAAAAAAATGCTCAAATCTTAGGTAATTTTTCTTTTATGTCAATTTTACTAACATGCAAAAGTGAATAAATATCATTCGGAGTCAAACTATTACTTATTATTATGGAACTAATTTAAAATTTGTCATCACACTGAAGGGTAACAAACATCATGAAGGTTAAAAAAAACAAGTAAATAGGCGCGTGCTTAAGAACAAGTGAAGAGTGTCACGTGCCAGTCATCATATTCACGGACACGTTCTTGTCATTAAATTCAGGGACACACGTTTTGAGACCATGTCTCTTGTGACATCTACAGCAGCCGGCGTACAGCATTTCCCAGCACATGTCACAACGCGACACGTGGAATTTTAAATGTGACACATGTCAAATGCACCCGGCTTCAGTGTTTACTTACAGTTTCTGGCTTGAAGCTGGTTCGCTGCAGCAGGAAGCGCAAATTTTTGCGCCACAGACGCAGAGGAAGCCAAAAGCTTGCCAACCTTGATGAGTGCACTCGCCATTTTTTGGTAGCTGGAGATAGAGGCCAAGCATTGGTGGGCGGGTTCAAATCGATATAAAAGGGGGTTAGGCTCTTTCGGCTGTAAAGTACATTTTGAAAAAATTGAAAACCACGCGAAACAAAAACGCGCTTTTGCACTCACTTCTAAAATATATTATTTATTTTTCTCATGATAAGTGTTTAAAGTTAATGTTGGGCATTTTTAATTTTCAAGATTTAAAAAATGAATTCTATAATTCACCCCTACACGAAAGTCAAACGCCCCAGTGAGCTTCCGGCACGTGACGGGTACCTGCCGCGCTGATTGGCTGAAGGATCCACAAGCGGTTGTCCCCCATCAACAGCCATTTTGAGGAAAGCCGGGTTAATAACCCGTGGGGAAACGCACCAAAATTTTATCACTGAAACAAAACTAAGTAAGTAGACAGCTGTGCACTTAAATCATCTCAATGATAAGCTTTCGAAATATCAGAATTTCTCAAGCTGTTGTTGCTTTTTGAGAATGCAAACGTCCTTGAAAGGTCGGCTCGACCCCCGAGAGACCCCATTTTTGGGCATTCTTTTTGCCACGTACGACCAGACAGGCATCGCTTATAAAGGTTGCCAGTGTTATATAACTGATATCATATTGCCAGACAGATGTTAAACCCACGCGGTGTCCAAGCCTCGTACTGTTGAAAAGATTTACACGTGTATAGAAATGTTGAAAATGTGTGGAAACAGCTGATCGCTTTGTCCATATGTAAATGGATAATATTCATCAATTTGTATTCTACATTAGAAACATTAAGATTTAAAAATATACATGAGGATTGAAACATTTACACAGCGAAGTGTTTTAATTAAAGTTTGTTTTATTTTATTTTTGAATACTTAAAATATATGCATCATTTGCTAAAAAAAATCTTTATAAAATAATGGGAAGTTAAATTGGCATAAACAAAATGTTAGAAAACTTTCCTCAAGGAAAGTGCCCTTTTTCTTTCCCAAACTGTGCATGCATCTTTTCCCTTCCTTCTCCCTTTTTTTCCCAACAGATGGGCACACTTGCCAGGTTTACTGAGGTAAGGTACATTGAAGTCAACGATTACAGAAAAGAATAGCTCTGCCTCTGTGATCACTTGTCTACAGCAGAAGTGCTGTAGCTTTGGCTAACTAACAAGTATTTGATCAGCCTTCCAAATGATCAAATATTTTTATCGTATGATGAAAATCCCATATGATCACTCGAAGTTATCATTTATTCCAGACAGTAACTTTACCCTTAAACCTGTATCTCCTGTGATAAACCCCCCCCCCAAAAAAAAAAAAAAAGAAAGAAAGAAATCACCCTATCCCCCCCTCCCAACCTCCCTTTGTTGTGAGATTGGATCTAACATAGTGTAGATGGGTTTAGTTCTATTTGTACAGTGCCAAGACTATAGGCTAATATCCTGTTCTCCCAGTTGTGGCACTACTTATGGCACGTCTCTAGCACCTGTGATATATGTGCTGACCACATGTGTTCACTAACTGCCTCTTATCACACTACTGGTGTCCTTCTCTGTCCTTGGAATGCAGGTCATGACCTGAATGTAGGGCACAAGATACAGCTAATATGTGGGGCTTAATAAGGACATGTGCCATTTAGCTGTCAGTGATCTCTTTAATGATGTAAAAAGAAATAGGTGTTGTGTTTATACTAAGACAATGACACATTTAATGAAATAATTTGTATTGAAGTGAAAGGTTTTTTTTAAAAAAACAATGGATATAATTATGACATCTATAACTTATTACAAAAATTACATACATAAAGCAACTAAATTACTGTAAATAGATTCATTTGCTAATTTTGATACAAAAAGCAACAGAAAAATATACATCAATTTGTGATTGAGCAGACTACTACTGAAAACAACAGCAGGGATTATAAATAATGCCGCATAAATTTGTTATTGAGCAGATAACTACTGAAAATTACAGCAGGTTTTTTAAATAATGTAATCTCTAAACATTAATGAGTCAGTTGTTATCCTGCTTATCTTGTGATTCAAATATTGCTTATCTCAAGTATTCCCTTTACTAGTACGGGCTTAAGGTATTTTTTATTTTTTTCATTCTCAGATAACCACCAGGGGGACACCTAACCAAGACAGGCTACAAGATGTTCCGTATTCAGCAGGCGTCGTCCATAGTGGGCACTGTCCAGTGCCAGAGAACTACGTTGCGTATCTCTAGTCGCCGTGGCTACAGAACCTATCAGAGTCTATTCCAAGACGCCTCCAAGAAATCCGAAAGCATCGCAGGAATTCCGTACAATAAGATCTCACTGGGAGTCCCGAAGGAAATCTTCAAGAATGAACGCAGAGTGGCGCTGTCGCCAGCTGCAACGGAGGTTTTGGCCAAGAAAGGGTTCACAGTCAATATTGAAGAAGGCGCTGGTGTCGAGTCTAAATTCACAAATGCTGCGTATGAACAGGTGGGGGCAAAGATTCTGCCAAAGAGCGGAGTATTTGCCTCAGATATCATTCTCAAAGTCAGAGGCCCCGAGACGTCAGAAGTCAACCTTTTTAAAGACAAGGGCACTCTGATTAGCTTCCTTTACCCTGCGCAGAACCCTGAGCTGGTGAATTCTTTAGCACAGAAACAGATGACTGCCTTTGCCATGGACTGCATCCCTCGTATCAGCAGGGCGCAGGTGTTTGATGCGCTCAGTTCTATGGGGAACATCGCAGGCTACAAGGCAGTTGTGGAGGCAGCAAACAACTTTGGAAGGTTCTTTACAGGTATGTATATACATGGAGAAATATATGACCTGATTTTTTTTTATTTATTTATTTTTTTTTAGTTGCTAAAAATTTGTTATACATTATGATAAAAAAGATGTTAAAAATGGCTTCATTATATTATAAATACGTTCTCATGATATGAAGTCTATGATGATTTTAGAAAAAGATATCTATGAGCAGAATTAAAAATGCTAATTACAAATTGGACTAAATTCTCCTCAAAGTTGCATAAACACCAAGACATTTCTTTCCACTGTTTGCATTGTAACCCCCCA